ATGTTTTATGAAACCACGATGAAGAAAGTCCTTCCTCGACTGGGAATCGAACCCGGACCGACGAGCCACAGATGCTTGTTGCTAAGTTCTGACTTTTTTTAAATAACAAATAAAGAATGTTATGTTAGATGTGGCGATGTAAAAAAAGTTATACTTTAAAATACAGGATACGCCTGCTGCAAAATATCTTGCGATAATTAACAATACTTTTGAATACCTGTCACTAGTTTTCAGACAGCAACCTTGGGTCAATGATAAATGTAGGATCATTGAAGCGTGGTGGGGTGACTTGTTTATCTGGACGCTTATACTTTTGTAGGTGTATTTTAGTTTTTTTAAAACAAATGAAAAGCAGGTACATTAGAAATGTCGAATCAGTATATATTTCACAAATTTCCCACACGGTTCTTGAATTTTGTGACTAAATGACCAATGCAGTTTGTGGCGTTCTTGCTAGGACTTTTCGAAAGCTCATTTTTCAATCTCTGGATAAAACTCTCATATGTTTGTGTTACTTTGATATTCATATTTATTTATGATTGAATAATGAATTACTTCTTAGAAGCACCAAGATTATAAAAATCTAGCTTATTTTATGAGTATGACGGTTTGTATGGGCCATGCTCACAACACAATGATGACATCAGGGACTCGATTCTGCTATGCTAACGTTAAAATCGTGTCTCAATGGAATCGATTTTTGACACAGTTCTTGTTACTCAAATATAAAATAAAAAATGCATATAGATAACAATAACAAATGAGTAGGTATAATATGTATTTGTAATTGTGTTTACAAACAATAAAGCTTTGTCAAAAAACAGAACTACTAAAACGCCATTGATATACGATTATAACTTTAACGTAGCAGAATCGACACCCTGGACATTTGCCTTTCTTGTTGTATTTATTTGCTATGTGGTTTAACTCGTGTAGAATCTAGTACTAGATAGATATGTATATATACATCTTATATTTTCAGGTATCTCTTCTCTATTCTAGGACTTACCTTTTTAGGTTGATGTTGCGACTGAAGACCTCATATTTTCGCCCAATGGCATTACAAAATATTTAGATTTTCTTACATTTAGATTTTATTCTTGTCCAACCTTTTTCAGTATTTTTTTTTTGATAAAAATTGTATTGGACCAGCATTTGTCTTATAATGATGATGTCATTTGACAAATTTTCATTAAAAAAGCAACACCGATATAATGAGTGTTTATTATTTTTTTGCTCTTGTGGATTAACTATGATAATTATTTCAAAGAAATAATCTTGATTTAATTAAAGTTGAACAATTTGCTTGCTTTTAGTTCTTAATACTAGTATAAATTGCTTCGACATTTTAACGAAAACAATTGATTGGATTAATTAATTTTCACCATTTCATATAAATATAATATCAGTTGTATGTTGTAGCTTTAAGTTTGACACAACCAATTCATGACAACATTTTAAAAATTAAAAATCAGTTTTTATTTTTCAATACTATTTATTTATTAGATAGTCACACAGAGATTGACATACATTGTTATAATTATATTCAACATGTTTTAACATTCTATTTGTTGAGACTAGGAGCGGTGTTTAGAACGGTATAATAGTTTTCTTTTATTCAATTTCTTGGCGAAGAAAGTTTAGGCACCTTAGTCTCTTTATAAAGTCATATTTGCTTTTAATATTATTTAAATGAAAACATGTTGAAATGACGAATTTTACGTGATTAATAGCTAACACTTTTTTTAAAATTCCTTAACTACTAAAAGAGGATTTAAGTTTTGTTTGTTTGTTCATAACTACAGTGCTACATTTCAATATTATCTTTGTAACATTTTCATTTCTAATATTTCTTTTTTGAAATTAAGCATGCAGTAACTACCTCTTGATATTATTTGAAAAATTTGATAACACACATTAGGTGTGCTTTTCCTGGCTTATAATTTAATGAAGTACCTGATAATATTAGAAATAAAATCTATAAACCTTATAGTGATTTTAATTTTCTTTATTGTATGAATACAGTAAATTTCAATAATGACATTATGCTGGCCGTGCTTGTTGGTTTAACTGCCCATTGTATCAGCCACTGCTGTAGACAGCTCGTTACATCATACATGGTGGCCGAGCAGTCCGAATTATAAGTATTGACATTTTTATGTTTTTTTTTTACATATTAAACATATATTGCAGTTTAATGTCATCAATGGATAACTGTAAATATTGGGTATAATTTATAAACCAAAGTTGATTTTCCTATGAGTTTTTAATTAAAATTATACATCGTTTTATATAGGGTTAATAAAAACAAATATGTATTACTAAAAGTAAAATAAGTTTTGGTCCATAAAAGCAAATAAATTTGCAAAACTTTTGTTTTGTTTTAAATGTTTAAAAGCTATATTTAATTTGAAGATTTACTTCGCTTCCTTATTTATTGTTGTCATCGTGTATATTTTTTTTACATACTGTTATCTTCTTTTTTTATTATTTATGTTCTTGTCAATAGAGTTCCGGATCGTCCTGGATAGTGTAACCTAAAAGAAAATGATTTACTCACCTATTGGGAGCGTTTTTTTGAAGACGGCCTGTGAACAGTAACATTGGTGATTAAATTATGCCATTAAGAAATTTTATCCAAGGATGGACTAGAAGCGAAATTAAAAAGAAAAATGTGGAATTGCTAATTTCTGACTTCACAGGATTGTAGTCTTTCAAGGGCTTAGACAATTTAAGACAATATCCTAGATGATGGGGACTTTTTTCGGTCATAATCATAATCTTCATTTGGTAAAAACACAGTATACAGATATTGCTTAAAGTGGATTGAGCGCGTGTTTTGCTATTTTAAAATAGCATGCAAGTACATATTGGACAAACATATGGCAATGAAGAGGTAACTAAGAAATTCGAGTCTCTACAATTACGCCGCGATGTGGCATCATTAAGAGCATTCTACCGACTATACCACAGCGAGTCTTCTGAGGAGTTATTCACCCTTATCCCTCTATCACCTTTTCTTGAGAGGACCACGCGCGCTGGCCTAAGTTGCCAAGACTTACTGTGGCCACTATTCCTACACGAACAAAGAAATTTGGTGACTCATTTCTTTCCTTCCTATAATCTGGTGTTTAAGAGGCGTGAAGAAGCATTTTCGCAGGCCGGCAAGGTGACGATGATTGGAGGGCTTAGACAATTTAAGACACTATTGAAGTTGGGACTTTTTTTCGGTCAAAACTCATACAGCGTAGCAGTGCCGCTGAACAGACTTTGGTTTACAATAGTCACACTTTAACAAAAGATCAGTATAAATCAATTTTATTGATTACTGGGCTTTTGAAAGTGTGTAAAATTAATTTGTTAATTATTTTATTAATTAATTCTGCTATTCTAGGTTTTCAATACTCAGATAAAACTCATCAACTCGGCAGTGTATTTTACTGGCGACTACAAAATGAAATTACTTCTATATTATCAATCAGGTAAATAAGTATTTATTTGAGTATTGACAGAGAACATAAATAAAAATTGTGAAAAATAAAAGAAACTTGCAAATTATTTATAAGTTTGCAAAGAAAGAATGCACAATTTAATTATAAAAAGCGAAAATAATATTTAAAAGTGCGCTGGTTCACTTGACAGAATGCAAATTTATTTATGGGAAAAATATTTGTTTCTTTTCGTCAATTCATAACTTTTTGTCATATTTATATTACATATATATTTAATTCAAACATTAATCTGGAAGATTGCATTTAGTAAAAAATGTTTAAAGTAAACATTTTATGTGATGCCTTGAGAAACTTGATGGGTACATTTAATTTCGAGGGCGTTTTAAGTCTGTTGTAAAAACCGACGCAAATCATTCCATCATCGTCATCATCAGCCTATTAATGCCCCCACTGCTGGGGCACGGGCCTTCCCTGAGCCACCACGCGGGCCCAGTGCGGATTAACGGGTGCTAATGACTGCAGATGCAGTCGGGACCAACGGCTTAACGGGCCTTCCGAAGTACGGAGGAGCTCGAGATAGTAAATTTTTGGTCACCCATCCAATGACCGGCCACTGCGAAAGTTGCTTAACTTCAAAGATCGCAGCCGAACGCGCTAACCACTTGCGCCATCGAGCTCCTCCATTTGCCAGTTACAAAAAAAGTTAGAAGCCTTCAATTTGTACAGCCAAAGTCCATTTACATATTTTATGTATTTAAATTGCATTAGCTATCAAAATAAAATATTGGACTATTCAAAAGTGACACGCACAATGGTCCAATAATTAGGACTAAGTGCAGAAACCGCCCTGAAAAACTAACTTAAAAGTGATATTTTATTTTATGATTGAAGTGAAACCAACAAATTAGTAATAATATGGAATAGAAACTGCGCTAAAAAGTGGTTCCACTGGGCTCGGTTGGGATTTCCTTTTAACATTATCTTACCCAATAAACGGATAACCGAATCCGTTCGCAGATATTTGATTTGTCATTTTTTTTGTTGGTGTGCATGCTGTGTTGGTATTGGAGTTTGGTTATCTGAGTTTGGAACAAGTCTTAGGTTTGTATCACAGAATGACAACTAAGTGTTGATCTTTACTTGAGTACAGTTAGACAAGAGATGTCGCTATGTGCTACGTATAGCGTTATCCTTTTCCGACTATGCTCAAGACTAGATTCATTACTGAGAATCTTTCTATAATACAGGCCTTAGTGACATTTGTTAGAAATCAATGCCTCCTTAACATTTCTAATTAATTGAACAAAACAAACATTTTCCCGTCTCAACTTAAACTTTCACCGGGCATTTTTAACGTATCTCGTCAACTTTTGGTATTGAAACTTTCTTCAGCAAAGATCAATTTGAATGAAACAAACATTTTCCCATCACAACATAAAATATCACCAGGCATTTTCAACGTATATCGTCAACTTTTGGCATTAAAACTTTCTGCAGCGAAGACGTCAAGTGAATAAGCGCTCGGTGTTCTCAAACGTACAGCACTGGTTACTTGGGCGGGCGGCCGTAGGGCGAGTGTCTTGCGTAATGCCTTTGGGGCTGCTGAGGACGCCTAGTGCCGACCTCCCTAGCAGAAGAAGGTTTGAACTCGCGCGGCTCTTCCTTGTAATAACTGGGCTCCTCTTCGTAGTAACGGTCGTTGCGGTCATAATAGAAATCTTGCGAGGCCGCACGGGGACCGCCTCCGCCACGGACCTAGATATTGATAAATACAGTGTAAACTCTATATAACGACACTAAAGGGACTGTACATTTTATAGAGTTGTTGTTAAATGGAAAGAAGAAATATTATGAAATGAAAAAGTTTATATACATAAAAAAAATATCTTATTTGAACGCTATTGTGTATATTCCGTTATTTTTGTCTGACGTCTTTTGCTGCACCAGTAATTATGTTGTATTATATTTTTTAAGTCATGGTCAAACAACAGTCTACACGTGCAATCCAAATTTGTAAACAAAAGAACGAATTTCTTAGAAAGTTTGGTTTGCATGATGCCGGCAGTGGAGTGGGATTTGCATGATTACGGGCTAGGATAAAAAAGCGACAAAAAAACGTACACAGCCGCGCGATTTTCACTAATTTTGGCAACTTATTACTTAATTGTTGTCGTTATTGAGAGTGGGTGTAATGCTATATGCAGTTTATCATTGTATGGAAAACAAACTAAACCAACCAAAGACGAGCGATTAAGACGCTTTAGGGAGTTTGTCGTTACACTGTATGTTTTTCTTAAACTCACTACCAATTAGCCTAGCCCCAAAGTACTCTAAGGCTTGTGTTACGATAACGGATAGAATACATATACAGTGGAATCCGTTTATAATGACATCAGGGGGAAATAACAACACGTCATACTAAGCGGACGTCAAGCGTTTTGTAGAAAATAATCAATTGTCTGTTTTATTAAATTGCTACATGTTAAATCACTAACATACAATGCGCGACCCTACAGTAACAATTAACTACTGAGGCACAAAACAAAAAAACGAGCGAGCCTCACAGTAGTCGCGTATGATGTGTAACATTTGAAACCTCACTTTATATTAGTAAAAAAAGAAATAAACCATTTGAGCATTATTATGTTCTAAAATCAAATAGTGCGCACTTTCGCGACTTCCTGTTACAAAATTCCGTCCCATTTCACGAAATCACTCCCACAAATTGCCGAAAAGCGAGAGGAAAGATGTTACTCATCAAAAAAAGCCATGCACCCTCTGAACGTCGTAGGAAATCACGTGACGGACTCTCCCCAACACTGCCGAAGGTATTACGAATCATGTACGTCACAATAACCGGACACAATTGATTAAAAATGGGTCATAATAAGCGACATGTCACTATCAGTGAAGTTATTATGTCCAACTTTGTTAAAAGGACTTTTATATGGAAATCAAACTTCCCTGTGTAATCACTTCATAATAAGCGGTTGGTCATTATAGGCAGTCAATAAATGGATTCTACTGTATTTGCTTCATTTATAAATTTATTTATAAAGAAATATATAGGCATCCATGACTAAGGTACAAATGCTTGTATTGATCATACTAACATATATGCTCCCAACAGGTTTCGAACCAGGGACCTCTTGAATAGGCGACACCTTGAAACCCAGTGTATATACCACTTGGCCACAGAGGTTGTTAACACCAAAAATAGTTCTAATTTTTAAGTATTTAATTGCTGGACCATTTGATTGTCAGTCTCTTGCCTTTCTTAAACTACAAGGCAGCGCTGTCTCTCTGCATTTTAGGTAACCCATAATGTCAAATGAATACCTTTACAAGTATTAAACATTTGAAAGAAGAAATAGCAAAGCAAGCATAAGCAAGGCAAGAGAAAATTCGACACTGCTATCAGTGCCACGGTAGCATAATGGTCAGTGCATTCGCCCGGATAGAGAAGGGTGCGGATTCGAGTCCCGTCTGCTGCCTGGCACGCGGGGAATTTTTTCTAGTAAAATTTTCTTTACAAAATTTTTTTTGGAAATTCCACCAGAACCAACCAAAACCTTTTGACATAGCATTACTGTACTTTAAATATCAACAGTCATTAATATGTATTTCTTACTGGTGGCTCAGGCATCGGTGGGTACGGATCCTCGTAGCCGTAAGACGAGTCCATCGCAGACCGGGCCCGGTCAAGGATGCTGATGACCTTGTTCTTGGGGGGCATCTGGCGTTGCATCGGCGGCTGCGGCGGGGGCATGCGGGGCGGAGCCCTGCCCGGGGGCGGGCGGGGAGGCCCAGCTGTTTGGGGATAATTGGAAAAATCTATACTAATTATTATGCTGAAAAATTTGTTCGGTTGAAGCGCTAATTTTGAGGACCCTGATGGGGGAAGTAGTTAGCGCATTCGGCTGTGATCGCTGAAGTTTAAGCCACAATATTATTTTTACTAGAACTAAACATTAAAGCAAATTAACATTGTCAAGTATGTCGAATGTCAATAATCATCAAATTGAAAAAGTAATACAAACTTATCTATATATCTTTAGATTTAAGCATCAAACGGTTACTTGCTTAAAAAATAAAAATTGAAAGTTATACAAGTTTGTAACGTTCTATGAATTTGGAATAAATAAATGAACTAAATACGAAAATCTCATTTCAAAGATTATTAGTATAACTAAAAGCTTGTTCATAGCCTACTTTTCTTTCGACAAAATAACACAAATCACACATTTAATCAAGAAAGAATAAAGCATTGAAAGACCTTTGGCAGCAACAGGGTCTTGGTAGGACAAGGATCTTTTGGTGACCGTGCAAGCATTGTATAGGTTGCTGGAGGGTTGAGGTGGTGCCATCGGGTGCCTCCAATCTGGCGGAGAAGCCACACAGTTAGAGACTATTACTCCTTATTCCAAAACACAAGACTTAAGTTACTCTTGGTTTAAACCTAACGTTGTCTATCTTCTTTTTAGCAAACAAACGTGAACATTTGTAATTAGGCGGTTAAACTGTACATTGTAGCAATTCCTTTTATTATTATAATACTCTGTTGATCATGATCATCAAGGATTTAACTATGAGCCCACATTGATTTAAAAGGACACTGAAACCCTTTCATCTTTGTGTAGTAAACAGAAATATATCTTTCAGTAAGATACCTTTAGTTTACAAATGAGATCTTTTGTGTTAATGTCATCAATTATAGGAATAACCAAGCTGCTGCCAGAAGTCAAGCAGAAAAAAACAACAGTATAGTCTGTGAACTGGCAGAGAGAAACAAAGAAATATCTGCCAAAACAAAGGCCTGGTCACATAAAGCCATTTCTGCTCTCCAGGAAACCTCCAAGAGACAAACATTAATGTAAAGGCCCTGGGGGTGTTCCTGATGGAGCTGGGTAAGCTGGAGTGTCTCCAGCAACACACCCTCCTCAGGCAAAATAGGACATGTCCATTCAAGAAGAAGATGAAATAAAACTCACCTCTATCCATCATATCTCTCATCTGGTTCTGTCTCATCATGTCATTGTTGTCCGGTATTAGATACTTCTTGACCTCAGCGAGAGCATATGCAATTCTGGCATGGGCTTCCGCTGGAGGGGCTAATGCTGAGATTTCCACGTGCAACTCGTCTGAGAGATGGGCATACTTCGGGTCCAGAGATTTCCTCAATTCTTCCTCTTTTTGCCTAATGAAAACCAATTTTTATATAACAATTTAAAACATACTTTTATAATATTCCATTTCCATAAAGTTACTGAATTTAATAATCACTTACTTTCTAAAGTGAAATAGATGTTATTTTCAATAATAGCAAATGTATTAAAATATTCATGATGGAGTTGGAATAAATATGAAGTGATTTTGAATAAGACACTTCAACATTTTATAGTTATAATTTTTATTTTTAAGCATTTAAATGCTTGTAATTTAAATCTAAAGAAAATATAACTAGAAAAAAATTCACGCAGGCCAGGCAGCAGACGGGATTCGAACCCGCACCCTTTGCTATCTGGGCGAATGCGCTGACGCTACAGCGGCCCTGACATGAGAATTGTGGGTTACCTACAATGCGAAGAGATGGTGATGCCTTGCAGCTTAAGAAAGACTAGAAAAGTTTTGATGTGGCCATCAGGCCCGCAGGAGCATATTTGGTCAAATAACGTTGTTTTAATACCTGTCTCTCATTGATCCACGTCCCAGAACTGCCATTTTGCACATAGTGTCTTCTTGCATTTGCTTCATTGTGTTGCCTTTTGGTCCAATCAGTTTGCCCACAAAATTGAACTTAAAATAAAAGAAATAAATATTTATCGCACCAACTTTCTCCTTACTTAGCATTAATTTAATTATAACACAGTGTAGATTAGTGATTCAACAAAGCAGAATAAAATTAAAAAAAAATCAATAAAAAATTCAATATTGTTTATTCAGTCTAATATACACAGCAATTTAGCTATTGATGTGGTGTACAGGGAATCATAGCAGCTATGGCTAGTGTGGGAACTTATTGATATTTAAATCTAAAGAAAATATAACTAGAAAAAATTCCACGCGGACCAGGCAGCAGACGGGACTCGAACCCGCACCCTTCGCAATCCGGGCGAATGCACTGACCAATTATGCTACCGCGGCCCTCACGGACCGCGTCGAAATTCCTTCTAGCTATTCTTAAGCTGCAAGGCAGCGCCATCTCTTCGCATTATAGGTAAACCCACAATGTCAAATGAATACTTTTACAAGTATTAAACATTTGAAAGAAGAAATAGCAATTATAGTTATAATTTTTATTATTTTTAAAGCATGTAACTGCTTGATGTTTAAATCTAAAGAAAATATAACTAGAAAAAATTCCACGCGGACCAGGCAGCAGACGGGACTCGAACCCGCACCCTTCGCAATCCGGGCGAATGCACTGACCAATTATGCTACCGCGGCCCTCACGGACCGCGTCGAAATTCCTTCTAGCTATTCTTAAGCTGCAAGGCAGCGCCATCTCTTCGCATTATAGGTAAACCCACAATGTCAAATGAATACTTTTACAAGTATTAAACATTTGAAAGAAGAAATAGCAATTATAGTTATAATTTTTATTATTTTTAAAGCATGTAACTGCTTGATGTTTAAATCTAAAGAAAATATAACTAGAAAAAATTTTCCACGCGGACCAGGCAGCAGACGGGACTCGAACCCGCACCCTTCGCAATCCGGGCGAATGCACTGACCAATTATGCTACCGCGGCCCTCACGGACCGCGTCGAAATTCCTTCTAGCTATTCTTAAGCTGCAAGGCAGCGCCATCTCTTCGCATTATAGGTAAACCCACAATGTCAAATGAATACTTTTACAAGTATTAAACATTTGAAAGAAGAAATAGCAATTATAGTTATAATTTTTATTATTTTTAAAGCATGTAACTGCTTGATGTTTAAATCTAAAGAAAATATAACTAGAAAAAATTCCACGCGGACCAGGCAGCAGACGGGACTCGAACCCGCACCCTTCGCAATCCGGGCGAATGCACTGACCAATTATGCTACCGCGGCCCTCACGGACCGCGTCGAAATTCCTTCTAGCTATTCTTAAGCTGCAAGGCAGCGCCATCTCTTCGCATTATAGGTAAACCCACAATGTCAAATGAATACTTTTACAAGTATTAAACATTTGAAAGAAGAAATAGCAATTATAGTTATAATTTTTATTATTTTTAAAGCATGTAACTGCTTGATGTTTAAATCTAAAGAAAATATAACTAGAAAAAATTTTCCACGCGGACCAGGCAGCAGACGGGACTCGAACCCGCACCCTTCGCAATCCGGGCGAATGCACTGACCAATTATGCTACCGCGGCCCTCACGGACCGCGTCGAAATTCCTTCTAGCTATTCTTAAGCTGCAAGGCAGCGCCATCTCTTCGCATTATAGGTAAACCCACAATGTCAAATGAATACTTTTACAAGTATTAAACATTTGAAAGAAGAAATAGCAATTATAGTTATAATTTTTATTATTTTTAAAGCATGTAACTGCTTGATGTTTAAATCTAAAGAAAATATAACTAGAAAAAATTCCACGCGGACCAGGCAGCAGACGGGACTCGAACCCGCACCCTTCGCAATCCGGGCGAATGCACTGACCAATTATGCTACCGCGGCCCTCACGGACCGCGTCGAAATTCCTTCTAGCTATTCTTAAGCTGCAAGGCAGCGCCATCTCTTCGCATTATAGGTAAACCCACAATGTCAAATGAATACTTTTACAAGTATTAAACATTTGAAAGAAGAAATAGCAATTATAGTTATAATTTTTATTATTTTTAAAGCATGTAACTGCTTGATGTTTAAATCTAAAGAAAATATAACTAGAAAAAATTCCACGCGGACCAGGCAGCAGACGGGACTCGAACCCGCACCCTTCGCAATCCGGGCGAATGCACTGACCAATTATGCTACCGCGGCCCTCACGGACCGCGTCGAAATTCCTTCTAGCTATTCTTAAGCTGCAAGGCAGCGCCATCTCTTCGCATTATAGGTAAACCCACAATGTCAAATGAATACTTTTACAAGTATTAAACATTTGAAAGAAGAAATAGCAATTATAGTTATAATTTTTATTATTTTTAAAGCATGTAACTGCTTGATGTTTAAATCTAAAGAAAATATAACTAGAAAAAATTCCACGCGGACCAGGCAGCAGACGGGACTCGAACCCGCACCCTTCGCAATCCGGGCGAATGCACTGACCAATTATGCTACCGCGGCCCTCACGGACCGCGTCGAAATTCCTTCTAGCTATTCTTAAGCTGCAAGGCAGCGCCATCTCTTCGCATTATAGGTAAACCCACAATGTCAAATGAATACTTTTACAAGTATTAAACATTTGAAAGAAGAAATAGCAATTATAGTTATAATTTTTATTATTTTTAAAGCATGTAACTGCTTGATGTTTAAATCTAAAGAAAATATAACTAGAAAAAATTCCACGCGGACCAGGCAGCAGACGGGACTCGAACCCGCACCCTTCGCAATCCGGGCGAATGCACTGACCAATTATGCTACCGCGGCCCTCACGGACCGCGTCGAAATTCCTTCTAGCTATTCTTAAGCTGCAAGGCAGCGCCATCTCTTCGCATTATAGGTAAACCCACAATGTCAAATGAATACTTTTACAAGTATTAAACATTTGAAAGAAGAAATAGCAATTATAGTTATAATTTTTATTATTTTTAAAGCATGTAACTGCTTGATGTTTAAATCTAAAGAAAATATAACTAGAAAAAATTCCACGCGGACCAGGCAGCAGACGGGACTCGAACCCGCACCCTTCGCAATCCGGGCGAATGCACTGACCAATTATGCTACCGCGGCCCTCACGGACCGCGTCGAAATTGCTTGCAGCTTAAGAATAGCTAGAAGGAATTTCGACGCGGTCCGTGAGGGCCGCGGTAGCATAATTGGTCAGTGCATTCGCCCGGATTGCGAAGGGTGCGGGTTCGAGTCCCGTCTGCTGCCTGGTCCGCGTGGAATTTTTTCTAGTTATATTTTCTTTAGATTTAAACATCAAGCAGTTACATGCTTTAAAAATAATAAAAATTATAACTATAATTGCTATTTCTTCTTTCAAATGTTTAATACTTGTAAAAGTATTCATTTGACATTGTGGGTTTACCTATAATGCGAAGAGATGGCGCTGCCTTGCAGCTTAAGAATAGCTAGAAGGAATTTCGACGCGGTCCGTGAGGGCCGCGGTAGCATAATTGGTCAGTGCATTCGCCCGGATTGCGAAGGGTGCGGGTTCGAGTCCCGTCTGCTGCCTGGTCCGCGTGGAATTTTTTCTAGTTATATTTTCTTTAGATTTAAACATCAAGCAGTTACATGCTTTAAAAATAATAAAAATTATAACTATAATTGCTATTTCTTCTTTCAAATGTTTAATACTTGTAAAAGTATTCATTTGACATTGTGGGTTTACCTATAATGCGAAGAGATGGCGCTGCCTTGCAGCTTAAGAATAGCTAGAAGGAATTTCGACGCGGTCCGTGAGGGCCGCGGTAGCATAATTGGTCAGTGCATTCGCCCGGATTGCGAAGGGTGCGGGTTCGAGTCCCGTCTGCTGCCTGGTCCGCGTGGAATTTTTTCTAGTTATATTTTCTTTAGATTTAAACATCAAGCAGTTACATGCTTTAAAAATAATAAAAATTATAACTATAATTGCTATTTCTTCTTTCAAATGTTTAATACTTGTAAAAGTATTCATTTGACATTGTGGGTTTACCTATAATGCGAAGAGATGGCGCTGCCTTGCAGCTTAAGAATAGCTAGAAGGAATTTCGACGCGGTCCGTGAGGGCCGCGGTAGCATAATTGGTCAGTGCTTTCGCCCGGATTGCGAAGGGTGCGGGTTCGAGTCCCGTCTGCTGCCTGGTCCGCGTGGAATTTTTTCTAGTTATATTTTCTTTAGATTTAAACATCAAGCAGTTACATGCTTTAAAAATAATAAAAATTATAACTATAATTGCTATTTCTTCTTTCAAATGTTTAATACTTGTAAAAGTATTCATTTGACATTGTGGGTTTACCTATAATGCGAAGAGATGGCGCTGCCTTGCAGCTTAAGAATAGCTAGAAGGAATTTCGACGCGGTCCGTGAGGGCCGCGGTAGCATAATTGGTCAGTGCATTCGCCCGGATTGCGAAGGGTGCGGGTTCGAGTCCCGTCTGCTGCCTGGTCCGCGTGGAATTTTTTCTAGTTATATTTTCTTTAGATTTAAACATCAAGCAGTTACATGCTTTAAAAATAATAAAAATTATAACTTATTGATAGTTCTCAAGTAGGAATATAGTGCATTTGTATTGCACAATATTTATACTAAGAAGTAGTGACAAAAATGTTATATGTATGCAGGACTACAATTATATTTAATAACATACTATTGTAGTTGATTCAATTCTTACCTTTGGATGTTCTTTGACTGGTACCAAAACTTTGACTGCCACTTTTACAGGTTTTTCATGAAACACATCTAGATATTTGTTATCACGTGCTGGGATCCTTCCTGTAGTCTGAACTTTTTGTACCTCTACAACAGTAAATAAAAAAAATATTTCTTACATGAAACATTTTTTTTGTAATACCTACAGTGTTGTAACTAATGTATGTGATAGATATTAAATTGCAAATAAGGAAGTAATCTTGTCATTGTATTACCACGGTAATGATAACATTAACGTGGTACCTATAAGTTTGTGATTGGTAGGTGATGAGGTACACATAAGCCTGTAAGGTCATTGACCCTTCGAATTTTGGACGTCAATTTAATGAGAGCTTAATTCCTTGTTTATTCTCAGGATTAGTTAACAATTTCGACATATTATTTATTTATAATTAGGCTAATCATTTTTTTTCTGTGCAGGGATCACGGTGAAGTAATAATTATTATGAAGTAATGATAGTTTTGCAATAGAAAGCGTGGTATTTTACCTTGGTCAATAAGCTTCAAAGACATGGGAAACTTTTGTGTGTTCAGTTTGATTTTTTCGCTCAACAGTTCTCTCATGTATTCGCCGGCTTTCTCGTTAAGTTTGGCTCCATCTTCGCCATCTTGGTCCATGTCGTTCTCACCTTGGCCGGCGTCAGCTTTATTACGCTTAAAATCACCACTGTTATAGCCGTTATTGTCGTACTTGCCCTCCGCCATTTTACTTCGTATAATATATAAATCAATTAACACTACACAGTTACAAGTGTCTTGTAATAATTACCATAAAATTAAATAATCACAACGGCGACACTCCAACACCACGAAAGAAAGAATGGACGCCAAAAATTATGGCGGACGGATGTCAGTCAGTGCCTGACGTTTGTGGATGACACATGCGCGTCATGCCTAACAACATCCGGTAATAGTGTTGTAGCGTTGTCGCCCAATTGTTTCCATATTGTAGCTTTATGCCAGCTTTTCATTTGGTTATTCGTATTTGGTATTTGTCAACTTGACAAAAGTTTATCCTTATCATGCTTCATAAAGAATGACATGAAATCTTTGCATGAAATACTGATGTCAATATGATGGTAAGGAGGATACACTTTTTTAACAGCAGAGCAATGGTGCATTCGGTACAAGGGGTACTAAACTAAGCAATAAAATTTTCATTATCAGTTAAATCAATTTTCATGGAAGGTTTACAAAGATAAAGAAAGTCTTTTTTTGTTTCTTAGGTTTTCACGCACATCACTCATTAAATAAAACTAGTTTTTACGGGTTAATGCACGAAACTTTATTTATTTATTGACGTTTCGCAGCCTTTTCAGGTCTGCATCGTCAGAATAATGATTTTTTATATAAAATTGTCGAGCTACCTTCGAAAGACTTATATTGAGCGTTCGGTTATTTCATTGGAAGATTTTTAAAATTTATTGTCTATGTATGAATTTATTATTTAATTTACTTAATAAAGTATTTTATTTAAAATTCTTGTTTGTAATTTTGAATTTATTTATTTGACCCTAACTACCGTAAACTACCACCGGTTCCAAAATTGGGAGACCTTCCTGAGAAGAACCGGCGAAACAAACTCAAGAGAGGCTTTCTATCTCCTTCTTATGTTAAATTATGCAAACAAAAAGAACTAATAGTATCTGATGGTCTTGCAGTGTGTGCTCGGGGTTGGGATTTTATCTCCTGTATAATAGGTTCCCAAGCTGGTGGTATATACCAACCATCTTCCCTATCGAAATTTGGATATTTTTTAATCTCAATAGCCTCGCGCATCATTCGAGGAACGAACCGCCGCTCAGCTGCAAGAATCTGTGGTCTATCAAATCTAATGTAGTGGTTTGGGCATTAGGGGGACCAAACCACTACATTAGATTTGATAGTTAGGGTCAAATAAATAAATTCAAAATTACAAACAAGAATTTTAAATAAAATACTTTATTAAGTAAATTAAATAATAAATTCATACATAGACAATAAATTTTAAAAATCTTCCAATGAAATAACCGAACGCTCAATATAAGTCTTTCGAAGGTAGCTCGACAATTTTATATAAAAAATCATTATTCTGACGATGCAGACCTGAAAAGGCTGCGAAACGTCAATAAATAAATAAAGTTTCGTGCATTAACCCGTAAAAACTAGTTTTATTTAAAGAAAGTCACTCATGTCGATTCTCTAAAATTAAAACTAAATTTAACATTCTGTATACAGAATGAAAAGGAGAGACTAATGTTAAATTTACTTTTAAGTTTAGAGAATCACGCCAGAATTGGCAATACTGTTGTCAAATTAAAGTTTAGGTTTAGAGAACCATACCAGAGTCGACCGACACCATTGTGTATAACACAAGCCTGATAATAAAAACTATAGTCAACACTACAGCTCTAATACCGAAGCGAAGTGAGGGCGGGCTACTAGTATATTATATAAACATCCATGACATACAAATGGTCGTATTCATCATACTAACATTTGCCCCACCGGGATTCGGACCTACTTTTGAGACATTTGACTTGAAACCTGGCGTCAAACTCGATCACGGCGTTGTTAAAAAAAATTTTCGTTCGAGGAGAATAAACTGCATTCGAAAAAATAAACTTATTCATAATATACTTAAAATGTTTTATTGTTAACAACTATGTATGTATAATATTACAAACACTGACTTTCAATTAAGTATAATCATCAGCGGTAGACTGTATAAAATTTAAATTAACTATAGATCCTAATTATTGTATGTATTAAACCAATTGTTTTTTGTTTTTTTTCTCTTTCATTTTAGGTCTAGTGGCGTGTTGAGCTACTATTATGCTGAACTCTCTGTGTGGTGCTATTAAAATTTCCACATTTTTTGTAATAATTCGGGTCACTATTACTTCGTCGAGAGCATCCTATAAAAAAAATATTAGAGAGATGAGGTAGGTGCTAACATTATTTAAATATGATAAATTTTAATCCTATCTTAACTTATATTATAAATACAAAAGTGAGTTTCTTTTTATTTGTTACGTGTTCACGCTAAAAACTACTGAATGGATTTGGATCAAATTTGGTACGCATATAGTGTATGATCTGGATTCAGACGTATTATACTTTTTATCCCGGTAACATGCTAAGGTCATTGGGATTCTAAAAAGTGAACGTGGCTTAGACGAACACATATTCTTAGCATTCTCTGCTGCCCCTTTTGACGTACTGGAATCCATTTAATTCAAAACCTGTAAGCAGATATGTGGTCAAATTTATGAAGGCAGAAGATGAAGCGGATGGCATTGTTGATAAGACGATCCGATTTGTTGAGAAGATCAGCATTCAGATCGGGATAACAGACATCAGCATAATCATTGAGCGGCAATATGAGAGATGTTACAAGCAAAATTTATGTTTTGATAGGGAGAAAATTTCTGAATCGATTTAAGAAACGAAGTGAGTAAACAACTTTGCGACTCACTTCGGTCATTAATGTGGTTCAGCTGAGACAGGAATCAATGTGAAGATCAATATTTTTCTCACTCTGGCTAAGCGGCAGTATCGTGCCTTCATACGTGACAGACCGGAGAGAACTTTGGTCAATTTTGGCTAATTGTTTAGAGCCTCCTACAATGATGTCCTGACATTTAAATGAATTCACTTTTATTCCAAAGTTAGCAGACCAAGCACTGATATGTCGCAACTCATGATTTAAAATGGAGATGACCATATCAAAATTCTCAGCCAATATAGCCAAGTATAGATTTGTAAGTCATCAGCGTAGAAATGGAAAGAGTAGCCAAGCGAGTGAGAAAAGCAGTTAATAAAAGCAGAAAACAGCAGAGGAGAGATAATCCCACCCTGGGGTACACCAGCATTCAAACTATTCTATTTTGAACGGCTTTGTCCAATGCGAAATGCTTGTTGACGGCCACAGAGGTAAGATGAAAACCAATCCAGTGATTTTGATGAGAAGTTGAGGGATTTCAGGATAGTGAATTAGTGAGGTATTATTTCTATGCTTTATTTTATAAACCATTTTGTTTTTCTAATTTAATGCTGTGAGCGCTTAGATTAAAACAAAAAGGGAAGATACGGTACGCTCATACTAGCATCAAATAAAATATGATCCGACTCAACTACATAAGCAACTCTCACACACGCACACGTCTGTAAATAACATTCAATCGAGCGAGATAGACAGAACTGTACCCTTAGCACGAACTAAAATCGAATTCGTAACGTTTAAGGGGTACTGTACCCCTAGCACGAACCATAATCGAATTCGAATAGTTTGCAAACCGAAATGTTAATGGCAAATTTTGTATGGAAACTTGAACGCAGCGCGATGGAAGCAGCACCACAAAGTACGTAACGGGAACTAAAAATGGGTATACATTTGACAATGACATTTCGGACTCGCAAAAGATACGAATTCGATATTGGTTCGTGCTAGGGGTACTGTACGCTTCAACGCAGAGTGTGAAACGGAGAATCCGCTTCCGAGTGCGAACGGCTGTAAGTGTTGTGTGTCGAGAACAGTCTCGAGTGAATAGTGAGAATGTGAACAGTGGTACGGGTATGGAACGCAATAAAAGACTTCGTCGGAGGGTAGACCGATATGTCTGCCAATAACAGCCTACCCGCAATTACTTCAGTTACTCCGTGATCATGGCACTTGCAACAGTGCCGAAATATCGGAAACTCGCTAAAACAAGGTACATGGTAACAATCCCGTAAATAACTTATATTACTATAAACAAAATTATAAACTTAAAAGTAGGATTTTAAATCACTTTTAACATTTTGTTTTACCAGTTCTTTAATGTAAATATGCGCTAAAGATCCAATGGGATGCAGTATCAATCCGTAGTTAGTAGCAGTTGTGGGACTGGTATTGGTCAAAATTGGTGTACCTGCGAAAACACAAGTTAGACACATAATTTTCACTTAAAAGGGCTCAGCTTTCCATTATATGTAATTGAGTTGCAAGCTGAAATTTTTGTCACGCAAAGTGTTAACTATTAAAAACACGTACACGAAATCTTTTTAGGCGGAAACGAATAGAACTCGAAAAAAAAATTATTGAAAATTAATATTTTTGTAGGTTATGAGTCAATTTTGACAGCAATTTTGATCAGTGCTGCCATTTTTTTATGCAAAAATAACATGTTTCTCGTTGTCTATGGTAAATATAAGTTTATTATGTTGGTACTATTGTCAAAATGTGACAATTTACCGCCATTAATGAGATCTGTCAGTCAGTGTTTGTGTTCGTCGCAGTTGAGAGCTTTTTCGTACTCCTGTTGATATTAATGTCGTCTGACTACCATGGCATCCTCAAAGCCTTCGACCTCGAGTTCTGCTGGCCCTTCGCCTGAAGAGTCGAGTGTAGTGCGAGTTTTGGACTCTAATGAGCCGCTTGTGTGGTGATACTTCACACTAGGTTAGGTTAGGTTAGTGTTGTGACCTTAACGCGCGAGCCGAGCGAGCGAAGCGAGCGTGCCGCGGCAGCGGCCGGCGAAGCGCCAGAAAGAAAAATTCGTTAATAGAGACTTTTTCTACAAAAAAATCAAATATCATCTCTAGGCCCTGGAAGTACAGTTTTACCTATAAAACCCCTCTAATTTTTTATAATTATCATTTCTGTAAAAAAACGCCGGGAGGGGGGAGGGGGATTTACCCTTCCCTCTGAGGGGTCTTCCCTAATACCTATCCCCCTGAAATTCCACTACATTTAACAGATTTAATGAATTTTTAGGTTAGGTAAAAAAAAAAACTGCATTTCCGCCAAAAATCTTTTATGGCGGGGGGGTCGGGGGGAGCCCCCCCTCCACCCCCCCTACAAATTACCCCGAAATTCAATTACATATAATGGAATTAAGTACCCTTAAAAGTACTACTTAAGTTGTGAAGCAGTATGGAATGTGTGCTTTATAAAAGTTTATTGGACAACAACAATATATTATTTTTATTACAAATACGTGCTGTATGAACGACGGTACAACAGAAAAATAATCCGAATAAGACGCAGAATAGGTAGGTACTTATATCTGAAAACCTGAAGTTCAATAAAATTAACTATGGATCCAAGAGTCACTTATTACATTTTGGTTTTCAAACGGCGATTCTTACGTTATTAGTTTTTGGTAAGAATTTTGTTTTGAAAAAGGCGAATTCAATTTATTGTTTTACAGCCTAATATTTCTTCTGTAAGCCCTTTCATCTGCGTAGAATTAGAATTTGTTATACCTTGCAACTGTTTGCTCGGGTAATTCTATGTTTATTCGGGATTATCTGCCTGTAGAGGCGCTCGATGGCGCAATCGTAGTCGCGTTTGTTCGTGAAGCGATAGCGGATGTTAAGCATCTTTCGTGTAGGCTCAATCATAGGATTGGCGGCAATTTTTCGCTATTCGTCGTGCTTCGGAAGCCATGTTAAGCCGTTGGTCTCACAACTGCATAGAGCAACACGGTCGAGGCAGCCAGGAGTTTCTATGGCAATGTTGCTCTATGCACAACTGTGATATAGCTAGGTATGTATTGTATGTATATTCTTGAGCAACGACCATAGACAAGGAAGCCTGCGCAATAGCAATTTCACAAACAAAAACGTCTACTGCGCAAGTTTATTTGTCTGTGGTTGGCGTAATTAGTTAGTGTTAGGTGTGACTCAAAACTTGTTATCACGAGCTCCTCCTCGAAAGGCACGTCAAGCCGTTGGCCTCGGCTGCAGTCGTTAGCACCCACCAATGCACGCACTGAGCTCCCGTGGTGGGAAGTGGGTGGGTGGACTCAGTGGCGGGGCAAGACCTAAATTTGATGTGGGCAAGACAGATTTCGCGAGGCCCTGTTCTGTGGCGACCTGAAGACGGATTTTATAAAATAATAAATGAAAGAAATTCGCTTTTAAGCAATGCATAAAAAATTTTTAAGGCGCGAGGCCCCTTGTACCGCGAGGCCGTAGGCGGTGGCCCACGTCGCCCACGCCTTACGCCGCCTCTGGGTGGACTGTGTGGGCTCCTTATTCCGTCCTTAGGGAAGGCTTATGCCCCAGCAGTGGGGTGCATTAATAGGCTGATGACTGAGTTGGCAAGCGTATTGTGGAAACTAAACACATTTTTAGGCAAAAGTAAAAAAAAGCAGCCCTCGGCTGCTTGTTGCTGCCACCGTTTGGGGAACCCCTTCAAAAAGTATTTTTGTTTTTATTTACCATCTTTATTTGTCATAATGACGCAGTCCACAGAATCGTCTTCCATTAGTCTGTCTACTATCGGGTTAACGTTATTAATGTTGGCTGTCTGAAAAATACGAGGAAATTGTTGTTTATGCTGAACTTAAAGACACTCTCACGTATGGCGTAGCTTCTTGACCTTCACAAGTGCTTGTAACAGCCTAGACTGAATAAATGACTTCATTTCATTTCACCCTCTCCCTATATTTAAACATATAAAATGTATGTATGTATAGTATAATATAATGTATGTATGTTTAAATATATATATATATATATTTAAATATATATGTACATAAGTATATAAAAACAAAATCTACTCACGGTGTAAACCAACCATTCATCGCGTTTATCTTTTAACAGGTTGGTTAAAATCTTCATTTTCCTGAAAAAACAGGACTCGTAATAACTTTTTTTGTTAATTCGTACTTACGTTAGTAGGAACCTTTACTAATGTTGGTCCCACAATGATTGACCCTCTTGAATTTATACAAATATTTATAAACAAAGTATTGAACACGATATCTTTTTATTATTTTTTGATGGCAATTCTTCAACTTTTTAATAAAAAATTGATTCAACAATCAATCTACAATGCTTTAAAAAAAACAGAGTTCGATTGTCGGCGTTTTGCATATGCTACGAAAAGGCAGCCATTACGAGATGAATGTTCTTAAACACCTTTTTTTTGAAGTAATGTTTCATTTTATCAACATAATTAGTACAATATAAGTACTACATAGACGAAAATAGTATTTTTATCTAAATTACAACAAAACCTCAAAGTTTTGGTGTGCTATTTTTTGCAACGCTGCAACGCCAATCACTATACATTTGAAACTATCTGTTGATTTAAAAAAATAATAATTCATTGATATTTAATTTTTAAAGTAGTTCTATTTTTACACTGAACCCCCTATTTATTAGAATTATGGAAACATATTTAATAGAAAACTAATAATGAATTTACTACAGACGGACAAATAAAGTATTCAGCTTAAAGGGCCAATCATTATAATAGTTTACCCTAGAATTAGATTGTTGGACATACCTAGCTTCGTTGTTACAAACTTTTTTAATGCCTCCTCTTTTTAATTCTCTTCTTGTGCCTGTAAACGACGCAAGCCACAAAACTTTCCCCCGCGGCCACCATGATTTCGTCAGATTTCGTTTCAATCCTGTACGCTATGAGATCGTCAAACACATCCTGTAGGCCATGAAATGTCTTCATTGATTTTGTATAGAGCAATTCAAACTTTTTGGCGGTGAAATTGATTTTAACGACATCTCGCGCGCGCCTGCATTATCATTTCGTTTACTGCACCTCGATTAACGCTAACTTAACACAGGCCTTCCCTATGGATAGTGTACGCGACGACCGAAGCGAAAGAAAATGAACTTACAACGATACGAGAGCAATGTATAAAAATGTATCTATAATTTCACATGAATCGGTTGTATACGCATTAAAAATATCATTCCCTTGTTGTCTTATTAGAATGAGTCGGATATCGTAACAATAGATAGCTCTGCCCATAGTAAACCATTGTAAAATTGATAGTTCAGAGCGATATTCCGCCCCGTTCTCTCCAATAATCTTATAAGACTTTATCTAAACGATCGCCACGACGCCAAGCGGTGGCGCGGGGAAACTAGTCAGAATACTGATAGTTCCGACCTATAGGAGGGACGGAGACAATAGGTTGTCCTTGTCACACGTCTTATAGGATTTTGCCTGAGTTGACAATTTTCGATAATAGTATGTTTTATGTTTTGATTGATTTATTTTATGTCTTATTAGATAGTAGGTAGTTATAGGAATAATATATCGAAATTTTGTATGAATCGTGTTAGTAGTTTAAGCGTAATTAAGGAAAATATCGGGAATAGTTTTTTATGAATAGTCAATAGGATATAGGTATAATTGTTATAATAATGATGTCATTTTATGTGTTTTTACTTCTTCTTTAAAATGGTGTATGATAGTTAAACATTAAGCGAGTATAAGTAGGTTTTTTAAGACTTTTTAATTTGTAAACTTTATAGGGCCGTACAGCTGTTGTTTATTAATATTCTTGTAAGAAATTTGTTGTATTAGATAGGTAACACGTAGGGCTACGTAAATAAATAGGTATCGCATCAATAAGTGTAAAAATGTACTGTGTAGGAGAAAAAACATGTTTGTATAGAACCGTTTTCTGAGACATGTTGCGCTCCCCACCCGGCGCGCCCGGAGCGCGCGGGTGGGGCAGCGAAGCCCCGTGGCAGGGCGAAGCCCTATGGAGGGGGAAAGTATAAATATTGCGGAGACCTATTTTTTGCGCGCCACACCTAAAATATCGTGTTTACGGACACATAACTATGTTAAAAATATGCCCAAATGTATGCCCGATGTATGTACAATTAGTTTTAAGCTCGCACTATTGTAAATCTTGAGAAAATGAAAAATAAAGTATAGCGTGGGTGAGGTAATGGATCGCTGGCCAGCTCAGTCCTAGCATATAAAATTCGAGTCGGAACATGCCCCGACATGCATTCAGCGACAGGCGCTCCTACCCTAAGGAACAGGAAGAAACAACCAAGCGGTTCACTCTGGACCTGAAGCCTCCTCTCACCGGCCATCCATTATCAGCGCCCACCGATTTCTTCAATACCGAACACCAGGGGTTTTATTCGCCGAAACTACAGTCCACTACAGTCAAGACTCCTGCGTGTAACTTCCTCCACCCCCTCAGTACGAGTCGGTAACTGTCCGCTACTGCGACAGCCCGGCGTCCCGTACATTTTTTGGTCGCATCGAGCCGGATCTACAGCGCCGAGGAAGAATTGAAGAAAAATTATAGAAGATTGAAGAAAGAAGATCGTCGTGGTCAATTATAGAAGATTGAAGACAGAAAATTGAAGAAAAATTATAGAAGATTGAAGAAAGAAAAATGCCACGAACAAGATCTCAAGCTGACAAAATGGACCAGGCCGAAGAGGAGCGCATCGAGAGAAGCATCGAAGAGCCAGAGCGAACCGCTGCAGGAGAGAATCCTGTCCAACCCCCGTCAAGAGCGCCATCGGAAGGGAGCGACACCGTGACGCGGCCACCGTACCCGCTGCGCCACGACCAACCGCCGAAGTCGCCATCAGCTGCAATGACATCACACCGAACAGAATCGAAGATAGCTGCACGAAGAGCAGCAAAGAAGAAGCGCCTGGCGGCGTTATATGAAGAATTAGAGAAGACTATAAGGGCGAAGATACGAATGGAAGAGCAAGATAGCGAAGATGAGGACCAAGAGGACCCGCAAATAGAAGATAGAAGAGAAACCGATAGCACACATGGCACCGAGAATGAAGAACGCGTCATCACCTGGCTGGACACAGCGACAAAGGACACCACCCCCGACGGCGGCACCACCGAACCGTATAGAAGACCGACCGTCGAGGACACCGTACAGATTGGTGGGTCCGTCGCACCACTTGCCGAAGATCCAGTCCCAGGGGCGCTGAAGCCATGCATTAAGAAGAGTCCGCCGTCCCGCATTGATGAAGCTCAAGAACAAGTCGCCCCTACGTTGCCGCCACCGCCACCGCCGGTCCAGCAAGACAGAATGAACGTCTCCGAGCTGGCCGTCGCAATCAACGCCGCCGTCCGTGCCGCCGTACCGCCTGCACCGGGTCCACGCTACGTCGGAGAGCTGCCACCCTTCAGCGGCGCGCACACAGAATGGCTCACCTTCAGGGCGGCGTACCTAGAATCCGCAACCTACCTATCGTCGGCGGAAAACTCATCAAGATTAAGAAGAGCCCTCAAGGGGAAGGCAAGAGAAGCCGTGGGCAGCATGCTAATAAGCAACACTACGCCGGGCGACATTATGAAGCAATTGGAACACAGATTCGGCCGCCCGGACAACATCGCCGCAACCGAAATAGAAAAGCTGCGCCATTTACCCCGACTCACCGATTCGCCGAGGGACATCGTGATTTTTGCAAACAAAATCAAGAATAGCGTCGTCGCACTACAAGTACTGGGGCAAAACGAGTACCTACGTGCGCCGGACATCATGAAGACAATTATAGAAAAGCTGCCGTCGACTATCCGCTTCAGATGGAACGATTACGTCAACAATCACCGAATGCAAGAAAAAATGAAGACGGATCCGGAACTATTGATTTTCGCCGAGTTCATCGAAGTCGAGGCAGAGAATAACGCAAGATACGCCCCACCGGAGTACATTGGAAATGAAGAAAACTCCACAACAAGAAAATTTCGAACACATAACATCGAGGCGACACATAATAGAAGAGCGCCTGAAGATCGATTCCCATGTCCGGTATGCAAGAAATCCGGACATTCGACGGCCACCTGCTTTACGTTCAAGACCGCCGATCAAGATAGAAAATGGGAAATAGCGAAGAAAAGCAACCTTTGTTTCCGTTGCTTACAATACAGAAGCAAGATGCACAGATGCAAGACGCGAGCGTGCGAGAGGGACGGCTGCGAGCGCTCACACCACCCACTTCTTCACTACAAACCGAAGTCGCAACGTGAAGAAGAACCAGCCACGAGCAACACAGAAACCGAGAGGGTGGCCAGCACACACAGCAGCCGCAAGCGAGACGCGTACTTGAAGATAATTCCGGTTCGCATTACGGGACCGAGCGGACATTTTGATACGTACGCGCTACTGGACGACGGCTCTACAGTCACACTTATAGAAGAGAGGGCCGCCGAGAAGATAGGAGCCGAGGGACCTACCGAGCGACTGAAGATAGAAACGATCGACGCCAAGCTGCCAGAGACACAGTCGCGCCGGGTCACCTTCAAGATCGAGGGACAGAACAGAGGCTTCAAGGTGCAAGCGCGCACCATCGACCAAATGAAGATTTCACCGCAAACCATAGAAGAAAGACACTTATGGGGCTGCAAGCACCTGCGGGGAATCGAGAAGCACGTCACCTATGAAGACGCCCGGCCAACCATCCTCATCGGGCAAGACAACTGGCACCTACTCTTGGCCAGCGAAGTCCGCCGGGGGAATAGAAGACAGCTAGTGGCATCGAAGACGGCTCTGGGATGGGTACTCCACGGCACAGACTCGCGCACCATCGGTCACCGGGTTCATTTCGTGAACCACCTCACCGAAGAAACAGAAGATTCGAAAATGGATGAACTACTTCGTCATCACTTCGCATTGGAATCAATCGACATCGAAAAGAAAAAACCGCATTCCGATCCAGAGGAGAAAGCCATCAAGATGCTAGAAGAACACACCCACAGAAAAGAAGATGGAAAATTCGAAACCGCGCTACTCTGGAAGAAAGAAGACATCAAGATGCCCAACAATTATGAAAATGCGTACAGACGGCTGCTCACCACAGAGAAGAAAATCGACCGCGATCCACGCCTAAGGGGAAAATACATAGAACAAATGGACGCGCTCATCGAAAAAGGATACGCCGAGCGAGCACCGCCGACATCAACAGAAGACAGAACTTGGTACCTGCCGCATTTTCCAGTCATCAACCCGTTGAAGCCAAACAAGTTACGCATCGTACACGACGCAGCTGCGAAGACCGGAGGCACCTCACTCAACGACTGCCTTCTCACCGGGCCGGACCTACTTCGATCGTTGATAGGAGTCATGATGCGATTCCGTCAACACCAGTACGCCGTGACAGCCGACATCGCCGAAATGTTCATGCGCGTGGGGATCCGACCGGAAGACAGAGATGCACTGCGGTACCTATGGCGCGGCGAAAGAAGAGAGGGACCACCGGAAGAATACAGAATGAAGTCACTCATCTTCGGCGCTACGTGTTCACCAGCCGCCGCTATTTTCGTCAAGAACAAGAACGCCGAGCGATATCGAGAAACGCAACCGACCGCCGTCAACGCCATAGTACAAGCGCACTACATGGATGACTACCTAGACAGCTTTACAACGGAACAAGAAGCCATAGAAGTGTCGACGCAAGTAAGAAAAATACACGCCGACGGAAATTTCGACTTACGCAACTGGGTGTCGAACTCGCATCGAATAAGGCAAGCACTCACCGAGGGACCGCTACGCGTTCAACAACCAATAACACTCAACGACGGATCAAGAATAGAAAAAGTACTCGGACTCATGTGGAACCCGCAATCGGACGAATTGGGGTTCAATCTCGAGTTGGCGCGCATCCCATCGGACCTACTTGCAAATAAGGCACCCACGAAGAGAGAAGTTTTGAAGATTGTGATGTCAATCTACGATCCAATGGGACTTGCATCACCAGTCACAGTCAGGGGAAAGCAGATCATACAAGAAATTTGGCGACGCGGCACAGAATGGGACAAGAAAATCGACACCGACCTCGCAGAGCAGTGGACGACCTGGCTACAACACATGAAGGACCTACGAGGCGTCAAAGTACCACGAGCCTACATAGGATACAGCGAAGCCACTTCACTTCAGCTGCACGTCTTCGTGGACGCCAGCGCCACCACGTACGCCGCCGCACTCTACTGGCGGGCCGAGTCGCCGGGAGGTCAAGTCGACGTGACACTCATCACGGCGAAAGCACGCGTGGCTCCACTCAAAGTCACGTCAATACCGCGCCTCGAGCTACAAGCCGCAGTCCTGGGAGCAAGAATGGCCGCCACCGTGATAGAAGAGCACTCAAGAAAACCAGAATCGAAGACATTTTGGACAGACAGCAAAACAGTATTGTCTTGGGTGCGAACGGGATCGCGCTCATTCAAGCCATTCGTCGCGCATCGCATAGCCGCCATCGAAGAACTCAGCACCATCAACGAGTGGCGATGGGTGCCCACGAAGCTCAACACAGCAGACGACGCCACAAGAATATCACCGCACGACTTCTACGGCTACCACAGATGGTTCACTGGGCCTCCGTTTCTACGAAACAAACAAGAAGAATGGCCCGCCGAAACTGCAACCGCAACCGAAGTCACCGGGGAAGAACGCGTGCACCACATAAGCACGAAGAAAGCGCCGTCAATATCCGAAGCTGCACCGGACGTCACTCGATTTTCGCGCTGGGACAAGTTAATTCGGACTACGGCAAGAGTACTACAGTTCATCGACCTCTGCCAAGCGAAAACCGACCGAATTAACTACAGAAGAAAGAAAAACGAAAAGGAACCCGACTGGAAGAAAAATCAAAAATCGGCGCCGACACATAAGAAGAAAACGACGCCAACCGTTCAAGAAAGAAAATTCATCGCAATCGACCGAAGATACATCGAACGCGCAGAGAAAATAATAGTTCGCGTAATACAACACGACGCATTCCAAGACGAGTTGAAACAACTGCGAGGGGGCGCCACCATCGCTACGAACAGTCGACTCCGCCCACTTTCGCTAATAGTCAACAACGGCGTGTTGTACCTACGAAGCCGGGTCAACGCAGCGGCGGGAGTAACCGAAACTCAGAAGACACCGGCGATACTCGACGGGAACCATCGAGCCACCCAACTGTGGATAGAACACACACATAGAAGCCTTCTCCACGCCGGGGTGGAAACTACAGTCAACGAGTGCAGACAACACTATTGGATTCTACGCATTCGACCCGTCACGAAACGAATAATAAGCAGTTGCATAAACTGCCGCATAAGGAGGGCGGCGCCACCGTCGCCACCTACCGGAGATTTGCCGCCGACGCGCCTCGCTCATCACCGACGGCCATTCACGTACACCGGATTGGATTATTTCGGGCCGTTGACAGTCACCGTGGGCAGGCGTCAAGAAAAACGCTACGTCGCGCTCTTCACATGCCTTACTACGAGAGCCGTGCACCTCGAGTTGGCCGCCTCGCTATCGACGGACTCCGCCATACACGCACTACGGCGCATGATAGCGCGCCGCGGGTGCCCTACCGAAATTTGGTCGGACAACGGGACCAACTTCCACGGCGCAGAAAACGAAATGAAGAAGGCAGTGCAGCAGGCGACGAGCGAAGAAGCAAGCATCCGCAGTATCCGGTGGAGGTACATACCGCCGGGAGCACCATTCATGGGCGGGGCGTGGGAACGCCTCGTGAAGTCCGTCAAAATCGCGCTAAGTGCGGTTTTGCAAGAAAGAAGTCCGCCCGAAGAGGTACTTACGACGCTACTCGCCGAGGCCGAATACACCGTGAACAGCCGGCCTCTCACCCACGTGTCCGTGCACCATGAAGACGACGAAGCCATCACTCCCAACCACTTTCTGCTGGGAGGTTCAGCGCGCGTCCCACTGCCGGGCGAGTTCGACGAGAGCGACCTGATAGGCCGCCCGCACTGGAGAGCAGCACAGCGCCTCGCGGACCACTTCTGGGCGCGCTGGGTACGAGAGTACCTACCCGAGCTGCAACACCGGCGGGAGCCCCACGGGACCGGGAAGACCATCGCCGTCGGGGACATCGTGCTCATCGCCGACAGCAACCTGCCACGCAACACGTGGCCCAAGGGAGTCGTCATCGCCACTTTTCCCGGGCGAGACGGCACAGTACGAGTCGTCGATCTGAAGACAGCCGGAGGAGTGCTACGCAGACCGACCAAGCGACTGGTGATATTCGCATCGGCCGCCACTCCCACGGAAGATGGATGCAGCGACGAGTCAACCGACGCTGCACGGCGGGAGTATGTACGCGACGACCGAAGCGAAAGAAAATGAACTTACGAGAGCAATGTATAAAAATGTATCTATAATTTCACATGAATCGGTTGTATACGCATTAAAAATATCATTCCCTTGTTGTCTTATTAGAATGAGTCGGATATCGTAACAATAGATAGCTCTGCCCATAGTAAACCATTGTAAAATTGATAGTTCAGAGCGATATTCCGCCCCGTTCTCTCCAATAATCTTATAAGACTTTATCTAAACGATCGCCACGACGCCAAGCGGTGGCGCGGGGAAACTAGTCAGAATACTGATAGTTCCGACCTATAGGAGGGACGGAGACAATAGGTTGTCCTTGTCACACGTCTTATAGGATTTTGCCTGAGTTGACAATTTTCGATAATAGTATGTTTTATGTTTTGATTGATTTATTTTATGTCTTATTAGATAGTAGGTAGTTATAGGAATAATATATCGAAATTTTGTATGAATCGTGTTAGTAGTTTAAGCGTAATTAAGGAAAATATCGGGAATAGTTTTTTATGAATAGTCAATAGGATATAGGTATAATTGTTATAATAATGATGTCATTTTATGTGTTTTTACTTCTTCTTTAAAATGGTGTATGATAGTTAAACATTAAGCGAGTATAAGTAGGTTTTTTAAGACTTTTTAATTTGTAAACTTTATAGGGCCGTACAGCTGTTGTTTATTAATATTCTTGTAAGAAATTTGTTGTATTAGATAGGTAACACGTAGGGCTACGTAAATAAATAGGTATCGCATCAATAAGTGTAAAAATGTACTGTGTAGGAGAAAAAACATGTTTGTATAGAACCGTTTTCTGAGACATGTTGCGCTCCCCACCCGGCGCGCCCGGAGCGCGCGGGTGGGGCAGCGAAGCCCCGTGGCAGGGCGAAGCCCTATGGAGGGGGAAAGTATAAATATTGCGGAGACCTATTTTTTGCGCGCCACACCTAAAATATCGTGTTTACGGACACATAACTATGTTAAAAATATGCCCAAATGTATGCCCGATGTATGTACAATTAGTTTTAAGCTCGCACTATTGTAAATCTTGAGAAAATGAAAAATAAAGTATAGCGTGGGTGAGGTAATGGATCGCTGGCCAGCTCAGTCCTAGCATATAAAATTCGAGTCGGAACATGCCCCGACATGCATTCAGCGACAGGCGCTCCTACCCTAAGGAACAGGAAGAAACAACCAAGCGGTTCACTCTGGACCTGAAGCCTCCTCTCACCGGCCATCCATTATCAGCGCCCACCGATTTCTTCAATACCGAACACCAGGGGTTTTATTCGCCGAAACTACAGTCCACTACAGTCAAGACTCCTGCGTGTAACTTCCTCCACCCCCTCAGTACGAGTCGGTAACTGTCCGCTACTGCGACAGCCCGGCGTCCCGTACAGATAGAATAGGGAGATTAGGCCATGACCTACCACGCGGGCCCAGTGCGGATTAGCGGGTGCTAACGACTGCAGATGCAGCCGGGACCAACGGCTTAACGTGCCTTCCGAAGCACGGAGGAACTCGAGATAGAAGATTTTTGGTCACCCATCCAATGATCGACCACTGCGAAAGTTGCTTAACTTCAACGATCGCAGCCGAACGCGCTAGTCACTTGCGCCGTCGAGCATCGCACTAAACTTAAATGTATATCAGGAAAATCTGAGGGTTTTAAGCAGAAAGCGATCAGCGGACATTTTAGAAGCAAGTGAACATTTCTTCCCATGCCTAAGTTTGATTGTGTGAGATCCCAAACATAACGGATGACCGCTTTCTGCTTTCAGAATCGTACTTTGACATTGGTTCACAGAACTCATATTTACTTAATTTCTAAGTGCGTTAACACTTAATCGGTATGTCACTGTATGAAATAAAACAGGGAGAAAAAAGCAACCGGTTCCTATCAGTACCAAGTCTCCCGCCATAGTATTTGCAAACCGATGGCGTAGCATTCGATTTCATATGTGCTTGTAAAAGCCTAAACTGAATAAATTAATTTTGAATTGTATTTTGATTTGACCCACCACGAGAGCCGATTGGTGGGTGCTAACGACTGTCAGATGCGAGCGGGACCAACGGCTTTTAAAGCACGGAGAAGCTTGGAATAATATTTTTTTATTCACCCATCCGATGATCGACCATTCTTAAAATGGCTTAATTTACAGGATTGCAGAACGAACGTGCTAACCGCTTGCACAATGGAGCTTTTTTTATTATTTATATATTATATAGTAATAAAACGAACTACATCTTTCAGCGCCTCTCGCACTAGGGATGAATAGCCAGGCAGCTTAGACGTCAGAGTTTGCGACATGCTTTCTGGTATGGTCGATATTTGCGTGCCCCCTGGTAAATATACATATAAAAATAACAAGCGGACAATCTCTTTGCACAGGTGAATTTTATATTTTCTCAAAAATGTTTGGAATTTTAAGCATTATTTGAATAAATCAAAAATAGTCAAGCGAAAAGCACAATAAACGGCGAATCAATCACAGTTCCTAACAATTTGGTCGCTAAATAAATAACTATGAAACAAAACAAAGCGCAAAATAAACACAGTCACAGATTGGAAAAATTTGAATATGTCAGTTACTGACTTTATAACAACGCAATAGGGCATTTGACATTATTAAAAATAAAGTGCCAAAATAACGAAAAAGATATTAGTTTTCTTATCTATTGTCACGTAACCCAAAACGCTTGGTATTGGCGGAGCCTAAAATGACGTCACGCGCAAGTAAACTTCCGGTCAAAGTGACATTACATTGTATCGTCTGACGTTTTAATAATAGTCGTGTGACGTCACACACTAGTAAGACGCCATATTGTCCAGAGAAAGGTTTTCGCGGCAACTTGAAAATGGAGTTTTTGATTTGGTTATTTTTACTGAAATACACGACAGAATGATGAATATCCTTTTTACGGACTCCATAAACATTAGTCAATAACGTGAGATCGTTGCCTAAAACTTGTCAAATACCCTATGGAACGTTTTAGAAGGTTTGCTATGATTTAACAAGATGGCGTTGCCATCAATATGAGGCGCATATCCAAATTTTTAAAGGTATCTATACTTCCCAAAAAGTACTCATTTAGTAAAAGTATCGAATACAAAGTATCGAGTACAAAAGTTTCGGTATCGAAAGGAAAAGTACTCGATACCACAATGTATCGATACTTTTTTCGTGTCCCTAGGCATAAGTAATATAAAAATCCATATATATACCTGTCGTGTTTAGCGGCCAAATAAAAACATAGTAAAAGTCATATGTCATGCTCGTAGATCGAAAGCGAGAAAGGGAGATATAACCAATAAACAATGGTGTCGATTCTGGCATGATTCTCTAAACTTAAAACTAAATTTAACATCAGTCTCTCGTTTTCATTCTGTATGGAGAATGACAAGGATACACTGTTGTCAAATTTACGTTTAGATTTAGAGAATCATGCCAGAATCGACACCATTATCTACAGTAGATACTTACTATGGTTACAGTAAAGAATGCCAGTAACATTGTGATGTTGACCTATGCGATCAATCGTTTTCATTGTTGCCCCCGTAAGATGCTGGTAAAGAGAGTAGGTAACATAATATTTCGAAAATTAATTCTAAAATACATCTACAGTAGCGGTTCGCCCTTTTTAAGCGGTGTTATTAGGACCGCCTCTGATTTCTGGTGGTCAACTGAGGCTCAGCGCCGTAGCTAGAGTGGGGCATTATGCGGCAATGCCCTATTTTAAAATACCATTGCCCTATTTCAAGATGGGGCGGAAGGCTACGAAAGATGAAACGGCCCTGTTTATACCCTACCTGTAATTACTGCTGCCCTATCTTAAACAGAACTCTGGTTACGGCCCTGCCGAGACTTTAAACCTCATTAAAGCGGTTGGACTGCTCGAATGCAATAAAAATTAGGCATCAATTCTCCAATCAACTTGTCATAGATTGAGAAGCCTTTATTTTGATATGCAATTTCTTTAAGCATTTGCATTTTTGAGGATTGAATATTACGCGAATGGGAAAGGGCCAAAATCGGTTGAATAGGGTATTAAAATCGCCAAGCGGTGCGTTTAGTCGTCCTCGCGGTTAACCGCTAGAGTATAAGGCTCAACTCACATTGGCGCAGAATCGAAGCGACGCAATGCGTCATGTTTATTGCTCAAGCAAGCAATATTTATTTTTCGACTATTAAGGTATTCCCACCTTATTCGATGCGAGTCGACCTGTGAAGGTACCTGAAGAAAGTGGACTTTCACTATGGGGGCCGTCCATTAATCATGTGATTTTTTTTTTTCATTTTTTAACCCCTTTCTTCCCGTTGGTGATACATGGTGAGGTTTAAGACTAAACTCTCCCCGGCCCATAATTATATCACGTGTATTTTTTTAGTACCTACCTACAAAGAATTTTATATTTTTAAATATTTATAAATACAGGTATAAGTATCATCTAATTTTATTATAGAAAATTAAAGACTACAATAAAAGATAAATTAAAGTTAGACAGAAACGTTGCAGGTGTTTTTTGACTGAAACAAAAATAATGAAAAAATGTGAAAAACTTTTTTGTACTAATACCGGAACATTATTTAATGTACAGTATCCTCGGACCACGAAAATATACGTGATATATTACTACATCCGGGGGGATGTAACACAAAAATGTAAAAAAAACACGAAATATCACAGGGGGGGAAACCCTAACCCCTCCCCCCCTGTGATATTTCGTGATTTTTTATGACCCGCCCCCATTTCGAGCCTCAAGTGATTAAAGGACAGCCCCATGACTGTTTGAACCTGTGCCGCCTAGCCGTCTACCAGCGGTCGGTGAGGCGTAAGCGCGGCGTCGCTCAGCCGTAGCCGATCCCAGTGTACTGGAGCTGATTTTCCGCTTACATTGCATGTTTAGATTAGGTTGACGCCTGTATCACGGCAAGTCGAAATGCGAGTTGGTATCGATCCATTTCCAAGTTTATATAGGTACAATGTGTGTTACGATGCTTAAGGTATTCTCAAGGTAAAAAACATGACGCGTGGCGTCGCTTCGACTCTGCGCCAGTATGAGTACACCCTAAAGCGAAATGTTTTCAACTTTTTTTGTGTTACAGAAGTTATCGTTATTCGAATTCGAGTCGATAGGATTAACCATTCCTCTAACTAATAAACTGGGCCTAATTCTGGCATGATTCTTTAAGAAAAACTTGAAACTAAAGTCAGGAGAATCTCCTTTTCATTTTCCATATATTAGTGATAAGTTTACATACATGAATTATGTAGAACCAAGTCTCCTATATCGATGGATTTAGAGATTCATGCCAGATTAGCCTTAGGATTTCATCAGTGATAAGTACTTGGTCCAATATTCTATCTATTCTAAGATTTTAGGTAGTATAAAGTTTTTACTCACTTCTGGAAAATCTTTACCAGTTAAAATTTTATTACTTTCATAATTTTTCTCCATTGTGTCGTAAAATGTTAATATATATTTTGAAGACAAGACTAAATAAATTATGTAAGAAACTAAATAATATTGTTAATGTAAAAATATAAATATCCTTGTAAACTTATTCAGAAAATAATTATTAAAGGACTTAAATCATAAAATCTACTTGGCCGTGCATTCAGAAGCGTACATAAATTCTCATGCAACTAAAGTTCACGCAATTGCATATTATACAGCATTAACTGTCCATTAAAATGCCGCTCTGAAATTTCGTATTCCGTTTACTACAAAACATGACATGACTGCTCTGATGGGAGCATGATCTATATAATTGCAAAACATGATAGGTGAGAATATACTCGTAATTGGTGTTCGTAGGAAAAAAACGAAGCAAAGAAGTCGGTATTTATTTCTAAAATTATGGTTATAAAAACCATCTTTTGGAGTAAACAGTAAATACTATCTACTCCAAAACATCAGCGGCCAATCAATCCTTGCGGCTAACGTATTATATGTATATTTCTTTCTCCCATAATATATCATAACTTTTTCCGAGCCCGGTATTGTTAATAAGTTATATCTTATTACCTAAATTACGCTAAAAACATGTAGGTATTGTATTCATATGTACCTTATATAGCCATATATATAACTAATTTATCGGTAGAGAGGGTAGGGTAGCTGCCTGTACCGCATGGAAGTTTTTCTTGTAAAATTTTCTTTAGAAATAAATTCCTAGAATTTATATGCATGCTTACAGCATTTATTAATACATGATAACTAATTTGGTTAACAACTTGCCAATAACAAGTTTTCACATATAAAAATAATATGTAGCTAATCAATTTCTGAAAGTAAACAAGGTATTGGCAAAAATAAATACAAAAAATACATAAAGCACCGCCCGAAGCAATCCACACTGATGCCCCGTGCAAAATTATTTGGGTTAGTAATTTGTAAATAGTCATTTGTATAGTATAATAAATTGTCGGTATAATATTATGCCCATTAGGCAACGCAGATGTATGCGGGCTCTGACCACTTTGTTCACTTTGCTGGATTCTCCAAATGCCCCCCCTTATCTCACTTCTCAGTTTCAGTACTTATGTACCTCTCATACTAAAAATCTTAGATCTTCTTTCAATCGTTTACTAGTCGTTCCATCTCACAATTCCGATATCATTCACTCTTCCTTCGTCGTCAAAACTATACTTTTGTGGAACGAACTCCCGCTAGACATTAGAATGTCCCCCAACAAACATTCCTTTAAAACCAAGCTGCGAATCTTTTTATTGGAACAGGCGTTTCGTTGAGTAGTTTGTCGTCATGTATGTATTATATGAAGTATGTATGTGTATGTATATGTTTAGTTATATTATTTGTATATATTTACTTATATATGTATGTTATTGTTATATTATATTAATTATGAGTAATATTTCTTTAAATGTGATCTCCACCTCAGTTGTGCACCCTGCCACTAAAAATCTCCACAACACCCTATGGTTGACTGGTAGAGAATGCCTACGGCATTAAGTCCGCCATTGTACAGTATGTGCATGAAGAATAAAATAAATAAATAAATAAAATATTATCAAGAGAATTTTTTTCCTCGACAAATTCATCTTGCCTCAGGTTCAGGCGACTAGGTAGGCTGCAATTCATTTTTCATTCTAGTTAAAAACCTCGTTGAATAACAGAGTTGAGCAGTTTTTACACCTTCACTGGTGGGCGTAATGTATGCCCTTATCGTGGCACATTATGGACTGTTATGACCCAGACACATTAGGGCCTCAGAAAAAGTGTTCACAAAAAATTGGACACGTTTAAGAGACGTGGAAAATTGTGTATGGGAAACCTGGAAATGTTTCGTATATCAGAGGTCGTATATAAAATATACCGTGCGATTTACTGACTAATAGAATAGAGATGACTGAATGTTACCTGTCCAGCTGCAAAGTAATATTCATAATCAAACTCATTTATTCAGTCTAAGCCTAAAAGATATTAAATGTCTAGGCTGTTACAAGCTCTTGTGAAAGTCAAACGCTACGCCATCGGTTCGTAAATCTACGGCGGGAGACCTTGTACTGAGAAGAACCAGCAAGAAACTCAGCAAGGGCTATTTTTTACTGGGTAGATAAGTGTGAGAGGGACGAACAATCGTGCGGCCAATGGTTCGTAAAGGTATTTTAATAATAATAATATAGGTATTTTAATAATAAACGTGTGGCCCGCCTGCTGGTAAGTGAACCATAGCCTATAGACTCTTCATCATCATCAGCCTATTTTATGTCCCCACTGCTTGGGCAGAGGCCTTCCTTATGGATGGAATAGGGAGATTGGGCCATGACCCACCACGCAGACCCAGCGCGGTTTGGTGGGTGCAAACGCCTGCAGATGCAGCCTGAACCTACGGCTTGACGTGCCTTCCGAAGCACGGAGGAGCTCGAGATAGTAAATTTTTGGTCACCCATCCAATGACCGACCACTGCGAAAGTTGCTTAACTTCAACGATCGCAACCGAACGCGCTAACCACTTGCGCTATCGGGCTCCATACCGACTCTTGCGATGCCAAAAAGATAACTCGCGCCATTGCCTATTCTGCCACAATTCCCTGCCCCGTGGAGGCCTAGGACCTTAATCACCGACAGAAACACAACATCACCAAAAGGTAGAGTTATTTAACAGTAATCTTCTGTAAGGTGGTTACGTGCCCAAACGGGCACTCCAATCCAAGTGGGAAATCCATTATTCCTCAAGCCTTATGCTCTTAAGTCTCTTAGGCCCGTATTACAGAATGACAACTAAGTGTCGCCGCACACGGGCCACCGACCACAACCACAAAACGCCGCCACCGGCATATTTCTTGTAGTTTTCATACATTTTATATGGACTCGCCGCACACGGTACGCCGGTGGCCGCCACACGCTACAAATCGTCGTTGCTCGCTTCTTGTGGCCCGCACCGGCCACTTAACGCGCCGATACAAAACGCCGCCACACGTCACTCGCGCGATTCCCCACCCTTCTCTCCCTTACCTTAGTCGGCCGCTGTCGCGCTTCAGCCACTTTAGTAGCCGCTTCTAGCTTCTCGTGGCGGCGTTTGTGGCTGTGGCGTGTGGCCCATGTGCAGCGAGACTTAGTGAGTACAGTTAGAAAAAGATGTCGATATGTGCTATATATAGCGACATCCCTTTCTTACTATGCTCAAGACTAGATCAATCACTGAGAACCTTTCTGTAATACGGGCCTTAGTCGTCAATTTTATACGAGTGTTGCTCAGTTCCTCGTAGCATTGCAACAGTGTCTTTGTTTTAGAGAATAGGGAAAAAGGTATGAATTGATTAATTCGTTTTTAGGGTTCCGTACCTCAAAAGGAAAAACGGAACCCTTATAGGATCACTTTGTTGTCCGTCTGTCCGTCCGTCCGTCTGTCAAGACCCTTTTTCTCAGGAACGCGTGGAGGTATGAAGCTGAAATTTATATCAATTACTCAGGTCTACTGTCCCTTGAAGCTGTGAAAAAATCAAACTTCTAAGCCAACGCAATCAAAAGATACAGCCGTTTATGCCGCAAATTTTCGACACTTGCAAGGGAATCAAAACCTACAGGGTGCTTCCCGTGAACTCAGAATCTTGAAATTTGGTACCAAGCAACGTCTTATAGCATAGATAAAGGAAAAATTACGAAAACCATAAATTTTTAGTTACATCACATAATATATATTTTTTTTAATAATTTTAACCTTACTACCCATTTCCTCATAAACGCGTAGAGGTATTAAATTGAAATTCATACCAAATACTCAGGTCTATAATACCTTTAAGCTGTAACAAAATCAAACTTCTATGTCAACGCAATCAAAAGAAACAGCAATTTAAGCTGCATATTTTGAAACTCGCAAGTACTCGCAAGGGAATCAAAACCTAAATTCCAGTCGACCTAGTATCTTGAAATTTGGCATGAAGCAACGTTTTATAGCACACATAAAGGAAAACCTTAAATTTTTAGTTACATTACAAAATATATATTTTTTAATAAATATAAACTTATTACTTTTTTCCTCATGAACGCGTAGAGCTATCAAGTTGAAATTCATATCAAATACTTAGATCTAATTGCCTTTAACCCGTGAAAAAAAAAAAATCTAAGTCAACGCAAAAACGCAAAACGCAAAAGTACAACCATTGATACCGCATATTTTGAAACTCGCAACTACACGCAAGGGAATTAAAACCTAAAGACCACTTCCCGTTGACATAGAATCTCGAAATTTGGTAAGAAGCAATAGCTTACAGCACAGGTAACAGAAAAATTCCGAAAAGCTTAAAATTTTAAGTAGTTATACCACCAAAAAAATTGTGATTGTAAACATAATTGTAGTTACAGCAATGACCGCGAGTTATTATACTATGTATGGGGAGGGCAACATTTTTCAAACGGCAAAGACGACCTCACTCATCGTCATTCAATCCCGATGTTTTGGTGAATGTAGCTGTATAATCTAAATGCGTCCTAACTGCTTAAAGTGTTATACTTATAATTAAATTCAATGACATTATTATAATACTTAATTAATATTTTTGAACCAGATTTCTAAATAGTGACTAAAAAACTTAGTAAATAAATAACTTTAATAAAAGAACTTTCGCAAGTCTGCTGCAAGGCTAGTATAAGTGTTTCAGTTATATTATAGATAAATGATATGTGTTAATATAAAATAAAGGATTACTTAAACGATAAAGAGATCTTTGTCTTAAATTTATGCTCCTCCATCTTTCCCCATTGTAATGTTATGAATTTCATTTTGCAATAAAAATACCATAGTTATGACTCGATTGTCGTAATGAACGAACTTTGTAAACCTTGCAGGTTTGTACGGAACCCTCGGTGCGCGAGTCCGACTCGCACTTGGCCGGTTTTTTTAACATGCAGTTAATTTTGACTACGATATTTCATCAACAAGTTGCAAGCCAGCACCATAAAAGCTTTGAGTAAAAAGCAAAAAAATAAAAACATCACGCTTTGTAAACCACCGACTGTTTTATTTACAAGTTTTGCAAACACGTGGGTGAGAAACGTGTTGATTTAAAAAGTAATTATTTTTAATACAATCTAGTGGCCCGCCCTCGCTTCGCTTCGGTGTAGAGCTGTAGTGTACAGTCTACCTAACTGTAGACTATAATTTTTGTTCACAGGCTTGTATTATACACAATGAATTTCTTTATATAATTATTTTTCTCACCTTTTAAACCTTCCCTAGACCTCCACGAACATTTCAAGACGAAGATAAGATATATCCGTTCAGCCGTTCTCGAGTTTTAGCGAGACTTACGAACAGCAATTGAGTTTTATATATACACATATAGATTCGGTTATGTTTTTATTTACTCCGACTTTTAGCTGAAAAGTCCATTGGCGAAGTGAATTTATGACTTGTTCATGTGGCCGAGTTGTAAACGAGTGCTTGGGTATTTGAAAAGTGCAGGCAGGTGGACGGTTATTAAGATTCATGAGCAGTGAGGTATGACCCGCTCCGTTGGTTAATATTTCAGGATATGCATGCGACCACAGTGCAGTCGAGTTACCAGTAGACCTTATTCTAGTCTAGCAAGATGAAATTCAAACTAAGTCTGACAGCAGTTCCTCCCGTTCCTCTCTCAGTTTATTTAATCAATTTCGTTTGTTATTAAATTATAACATGAATGTAAACCTTGCTATCTTTAACATTCATGTTATATGGCGAGAGTGTATTTTGCTTACTTGTATTTTTTTGTTCACAGTTTTATTCTATTAGGACGACGCCTTATTCCAAGCAAGTTGTATTGTATAGATCTAAGGTATAGATTGTTAAAAGAGATCGCTAAAGATTGAAGATATAATGCATTACTGTAGGTATACATTATTGAAGAGAACGAGATAAATAAATAAGAGCGTATAGCTTCATAGTGAGAGCACTGACTGTCGACAGTTTCCGTGCAATCTCATACTACTGTTTACTGTGTGATCTGTGTCTTGTTTGCGGAACACAGTGGTGGCCCGGTAGCCGTAGCCCGAGCATCACACTAGCCCGCGATTAGTATTTAATACAGCCTGCAGCAGCCTGGCATACACTGTCTGCGGTTACCTATTGTGATGTCGTGTCTAAGCTTGTCTCAAACTACCCGCAATATGGGCAGGGATCATGCATGTCCAGCCCAGTACCCCTAGCACGAACCATTATCGAATTCGAATAGTTTGCAAACCGAAATGTCAATGTAAAATTTTGTATGGAAACTTGAACAACAGCAGCGCAAAGTACGTAACGAGAACTAAAGATCAGTACACATTTGACAATGACATTTCGGACTCGCAAACGATACGAATTCGATATTGGTTCGTGCTAGGGGTACAGTAATGCATTGATTCCGCACATTTACACTGCCTGAATTTCTACCTTTTTTTTTATAGATAGGTCCGACAAATGACTCCACCCCACCTGATGTTAAGTGAAGGTGAAGTCCCGACGCGAAGATAGCTGATACAGCAGTTCTACCTGCCACACCAGCCATCCTCACCCTGCCGGCCTGCATGTTGCTACTTCACGCCTCTTTTAATGGATCCCAGGTTGTAAGAGGGAGGGAACACGTGAGCGGGCAGAGCATTCCACTTACGGATAGTGCGACAAAGAAATGAGTCACCAAATTTCTTTGTACGCGTTGGAATTGTGGCCACAGTAAGACGGTGACAACGTAGGCCAGCGCACGTGGTCCTCTGAAGGAAAGGGGAAGGTGGCATAAGAGAGAATAACTCCTCAGAACACTCGCCGTGGTACAGACGGTAGAACGCGCTTAGTGACGCCACGTCACGGCGTAATTGAAGAGGCTTAAGGTGTTTAGACACCTCCACATCGCCTATGATGCGGATCGCGCGCCGCTGTAACCTATCCAAAGCATCGAGCAAGTACTTGGCGGAGCCATCCCAGAGGTGCGAGCAATATTCCAGCTGGACCGCACTTGCGTTTTATACAACAAGCACAGTTGATCGGACCTTCATAAGTTATAATGTTAGCTCGGAGCTCCATTGCGCGAGTAGTTAGTTCTTGCCGTTGATTTTGGCTGCATCTGCAGTAATTAAGAGCCCCGGAGACGGTCAAACGGTTTGATTCAAACCTTACGTGTTTGATTTACCCGTTTGATGTCGCTTTGAACAGTTGTCAAACGGCACTGTTGTAGTTTTGTTCGGTACGCCGCCCTAATTAGACTCGTGATTGTGAAGCAGACAAATTCTGAGATACCCGCGAACAAAACTCGCGATTTCCTCGCATTTATAACGTTAATGTCCTGCGTTTTATGGATTTTACACAAAAGAAAAAATCAAACGGGGCGCGTCAAACACAAAGAAATTTTATTAAATAAGCTCCAAACACGGTAATATTTAACAAACCACCTAAGCTAGCTTTGTAAACGATCGTTTCGGAGGTCCTCGTACGCAGTATCTCTAACTAGTCTGTGGTCCTCGTTCACCGATTTCCACTGGGATCGCGTTGTACGTCATACCGATTCTTTGTATTCCATGCATAGGGAAGGCCTGCGACTCAGATTATAATAGGCTAATGATGATGATAAGAGTTCCTTGGTAGTTATTTATCTTAAACATTGACTTGGGAGTGGATGAAATAGAGGATAAAAGTTGAATGGTAAACTACCCTGTGGCGTCGTCCTTATTAGGCTCACTGTTAGCAGCTGCCTGTTGCCTCTAGTTCGCCTCCCTATATATTTTAAACGGAGTTTGCGTTCTTACTGTACGCAGTTTACGGCGTTTCTCTTGCCGACTCATTCAGTGAGCAACTGAGTAGCAGCGATGCAGCGACCGACACTCGCGGTCAGTGATTTAGTTAGCCGCTATATCTATTGTGTAATGATATGAAATTATTTATAACCTGCTGAACCGGCAAAGAACGTACCGCCATTTCTTCCTGTTCGGTGTTTTTAAAAATTTTCTTTTATACAAACGTTATCCTGGCAATAATAAACACAGCAAAAAAATATTAAATTTTTGCAGTCGTTCGAAAGTTATACGTACATACATTTCGGCGATTCATTTTTATTTATAAAGATGCCGCCATAACAATCACACTAATATTATAAAGATGAAAGTTTGTGAGTGTGTATGTTTGTTACTTCTTCACGTCTAATAATAATAATATTCTTTATTGACATACACCTCACAGAACATACAAGACATTAAACATGACATTGAAAACGTACACAATTGGCGCCCTTATTGCTAAACATCAATCTCTTCCAGGCAACCCATGACAGTGAAATAAATAAATAAGAGGAACAAGAAGGGGGGTTGGGGGGTGTAGCAGGTATGGTAAAACTGCTGGAGCGATTTTAATAAAATTTGGTATGGCATAGCTGACACCCTGGATCAACACAATGGCTACGTTTTACTGCGGGAAAATATCCCTTATAAACTGCGGGTAACATCGCGGGGCACAGCTAGTAAATTATAAAAGGTACGGCCAGAGTGCACTCAGATTCAGATTCAGACTCAGAAAACAAGCGCGAGAAATATACAGTGTAGTTTAAGCAGGTTGCCTGCTGCCACTATGGCCACCCTGCTTAAACTACACTGTTTATTTCTCGCGCTTGTTTTCTGAGTCTGATTCTGAATCTGAGAGCACTGTGGCCGTACCCTTATGCGACGACACGAAATTTTCAGTATTACATCAGAGCGATATGTGAAGTTGCGATATTCTCTGCAGGACGTTACTCTCGTAGGCAGTTTGTTCCCTCCCCCCTGTTTACACTGTTTGCGGTCGACTTTATTAACAAACTTTTCTCCGTATTTGCCCGCGGATGATTCACTGAGCAATAGCTAACTTCCCACTGAGCACTGAAAGTTTTGCATTTGAAGTCCTATCGAAAGCAGACGCGTTTACTCTAAGAAGCATTTACGAGCTTTATGAAAGAAATAAATCCATACCCTTAACGTGAATCTATTTGTTTAGTTTAAAGGTCTAAATCACTGCATCAATTTAGTTAAATTTGACAGATGAATTTGTACTTCAGCAAGGACTTGAGAGGACAGAGAAAGAAAGTGAAAACAAATTTACCTAATACAAAGTTATTTGAGCGCTTTACCATACCAGTATAGGCTAAGAAATGAAACATATATATTTTTTCAACAATTTATTGTCAAAATTTAAACATATATATATAATACACTTATAAAAAAGGTAGTCTTAGTTATAACAAAATATAAATACTAAGTAAGTACTTACTTAACTACGTATCAAAAATATAGGTTACTGTAAACTAGCTTAGTACCTAAAATGTCTATTCCTTGTGGGGTTGGCAGTGCTTTAAAAAGTTATAACATGAGACAATATACCCATCTATATAAATATAATTGAATAGAAGATACATCTCTATGACGCTATATTCGGCTGTAATATTTGGCGTGGGAATAAACGGAAGACATAGAATACGTCAGCTATTGTTTTCGGAAAAAAATATTGTCCACACTTTATTCAGCCGTGACCAAGTCTTTTAGTACTATCAATTACAATTTTCCTAACTTATTCTCTAATCGCATCAGAAACTGTTTGATCTCTCCCATTTCCGTAGCTATTTGATTGACCCTTACATTTAACTCATCAGCAGGTGTGTTATTAGAAGACTGTGTTGTCAGTGTTTCCATTTGCGTTTTCATATCGGTCATGTCATCATCTAAACCATTGAGACGTTTCATAACTTCCTCGTGCCTCTGTCTATTTCTAATCGGCCAGTCATCAATATTTCTCTGCACCTCCGTTTTATCGCCATCTTTCTTCTTAACCACAGCATCGTATATTTCGTTCAGTAAATCTTTAAAAGCTTTCACGTTCATCTCATCTTCCAACAGCTTCTTCTGACTTTGAGCTTTATTGAACAATGCGTCTCTTATTCGTGAAGGCAGAACCTTGTAGTACCTCCATCTAGGTCTTCCTGGTCTTAGAATAACAATGTCACTGACATTGCGTTTCTGTTTAATTTTGCTGTTCGCTTTCCTGGGTAATATTTTGCTGAACACCTTATTGTAGACTAGGGTATCTAGAGTACTCAGGAATTCTACTTGTTTGTCCAACCTCCTTATGTTACCTAGAATTTCGAGATCGTTGATGTCATTGACAGCAACGCCGACCATTAAATTCATGAGTACTATCGCGGCTAAAATGAGAAAAGCAACGAATATGAGACGGACTATTTGGAAGGAGAATGCTAATTCTTTGGAATGCGCTTCATCAAATAACGCGCTGTATTCAAACTCTGACGTCATCATAACGATAGTCTTCACGAAGGCTGCCCAAGGCCCCTCGAAAGGTGTCTTCGATCGAAACTGGATCATGAAGCTAAACGAGAATCCAATAACGAGGAAGGCGAATGTTAGAAGAATCTGTGAACAACGCGAGATTTAGTGAGAAAATCTTTAGAAGTGTAGTCACTCTATTAAATGTAAATCTTTAATCCTAGTTTTTGTCAATATTGAGAAAAATACTAGCCAAGCTCTTAGCTTTTAGAGATAAAAGAGAAAGAGATAGTAACATCATTGTGTGTTCTGTGTTGGAACTCACTAACAGTAGTGTACGCTCTCACCATTTAGTTTTACTGATACTTATTTAATCAAGATTATTAAAACTTACCTTAACAACATTCGATGCGACCTTCCCGAACATCAGCACGTAATAACCCCAGTTCGGGAATCTCGACAGTAGAAACATCATTTCCAACCAAGCCAAGAGTAAAGCTATAGTTGCCACGTGTCTTGGCCATTCTGCGTCATAGAACACTGGCACCATTACAGCTGGAGGCAAGATTATAGCGAGTCCTATGGATCCAAATTTGACCCATGTTTCTAGTTGCAAGAAGTATCTGCTGCTTTTCACGTTCATGTATAGCAGTTCCTATGAAAGGAAAATGAACTTTAAAACATTTTGTAGGTTCCGTAGTTACCAAACTTGATTTGTATTTTGTGAATAAGTTAAGGTAAGTAAACCAAAAATTTTAATTTTTAAACTTAGAAGATGTGAAACAATAAGTATAAGTCATTACACAGTGAAGTATTTCAAAATAAATAATAACTAAAGAATTGATCCATAATTTAATACCGTCTAGAGAAGTTACTTTAAAAATGGTTGAGATAGATGTTATAAAATTCTTCAAAATTATGCGTAGAAATATCTATCTTGTAAAAGTCATAACAATTTACTCAAGTTTAGCCTTTAGTAGGCAAACTTACCTGAAGTATTACTAACGATATTGATGTATAGACGACGTAGGACCACACTGCAGTATCTAACCAGACTGGTTTTTCCTCCACAGTGTCCTTATAGAAGAACACAGACACAGCGAAAACAGTCAAGGACATCAGAAACAATGCATACAACGCAATTATCGTGTAGAAGAACGGTAACAAAGCTTTCCATTTTAAATAAAGGAAGCTTTCTATAAGCGGATGGAGGAGCAATCTCTTTTGTCCGTACCTATTGCCAGTTTTCAACAGTGCCTCAATAACTTTCATTTGTTCCATTTCACATTCGTTCGGCATCAAAACCCGATAATCAATTATCACTTCACAGTTTGAATCCTGAAGATTGAGGTCGTTAGTAGATATATAAACATCTAGAACCTCTTCCATAAAATCAGTAGGTTTCGACAAGTTATTTATAATCATGTCGATAGCAGTTCTCCTATATTTCTTAGGACCATCAGTGTATCCAGCCAAATTAGCGCCTTCCCGTAAAAGTAGGACAATGACATCTCTACTCCCATGATGACTAGCAGAATGCAAGGGAAACCATCCCATACCGTTAACTTCATGTATTATCGTCTTATCAAAATTGAGAAGACATTTTGCTATTTCAGAATGATTCCTTACTGCGGCTATGTGCAAAGGAGTCGATGACTTGTGTGGACTACTTGTGGTTCTTAGTCTAATATCGGCATTTTTGGAAATGAGTAGTTCGACACATTCTAAATGGTTCTCTGCTACAGCAAAATGTAACGGGCCAAATCCTTTTCTCTTAGAGTCTGTTAAACTATTTAGCATAATTTGCGTTACTTTTTCGTCATAGTCTATTAGGAATTCTAAAATGGTTTTGTTGCCATTCTCAGCAGCTACATGGAAAACGTTAACGTCTCCTTTGAGAGTAATTTTTATGGAAGCACCTTCATCCAGTATCACTTTCACGCATTCAATGTGACCATACTTGACAGCTTTAAATAGTGCGGTCTCGCCTTCTTCGTTTTGGTAGTCTATTGAATCTTTTTGTTTAGCTACACTCAGTATTTCGTTGAGGACGTCCAGATTGCCTAAAGCTGCTGCTGAATGTATCGGAGTTTCACCGTCATTTGCCTGCAAGAATAATATGGTACTTTTTTATAAATTCACAAACCAAGATTGATTTACGTAGTGTTTAGTTAACATTTTTATAAAAATAATAGATATGATATTCGATGAACAGAGATGAAAATAAGTGAAACCGTCACGGAAAGCTCACTAACTTGTTTGAAACTGAAACTGGTTAGTAGTTGTCTAGATATAGATATTGTACTTGCAAGATTCTGACAGAGTCATGTACCATGCTAAAATAATTGTTTTAAATTACTATACTGTAGATGTGCAATTAATTAAATAAATAAATAATTCAAAACTAATTAGTATCATACTACTAAAGTATGTATCATTTTGAACAAAACCTCTTCTCATTTGATTACCTTTACAGTAATGTTAGCTCAGGCCTCCAGAGCCACACCGACACTCCTTACCCACGCTTTCTTTATATGAACAATTTTATGCTACGTCACTTCCCATTTGAGTCTTTTGTCTTGGAACCATGATTAAACAATATGCCGTCTATTACTAAAGTATGAATAATTTTATGTAACACCTCTTCCTATTTAATTACATTTCGATTTACGTCAGCTCCGGATTCCAGAGCTACACCTGCTTTTTTAAGGCCGTAATTATAGAATAAATTTTAAGTAACTGAGGTATGAATAATTTAGAGCTACATCTAGTCCTCCATAAGTACCTTTAGAGTGACCTCAGATCCAGCATCTATAACTATCTGAGTACGGCTGTAAGCGCATGAGGTATGAATAATTTTGTACTTCGTCTTTTACTCAAAAAAAAAACCAGCTCCTTTTCAAGGTTGGTAAATTACAGTGATACTCTCACACGTCAGCGCTGGTCTCCAGGGCCATACATATGCCCCAAGCGCACGCTTTCTTAATATGAATAATTTTATGCTACACCTCTTCCCATTTGAGAACTTTTGCCTTGGAACCATGATTAAACGTCCTTTATTATATTGCTACTATACGTCTACTATTACTAAAGTATGAATTATTTTGTGTAACACCTCTTCCTCTATTACCTTTAGAGTCTAGTTAGCTTTCTTCTTTCTCCGTCTTTTCATTCTCCGTCCCTCATTCTTAGTATGAATCATTTTGTACTGCATCTCTTCCCATATAACTACCTTCAGAGTGACGTCAGCTCCAGCTTTCAGGCCTTCCCTGTTCTCCACCTCTACTAATGGTGGCAGAAGATCGCTGTCGCTGCGCCTCTTAATCTAATCATTAATTATTTTGTGCAATACCTCTTCTCATTTCATTACCTTCAGAGTGAGGTCAACTCCAGAATCTAGAGCTACGCCATTATTATAGAATACGTTTTAAGTAACTGAGGTATGAATAATTTAGTGCTACATCATGTTCCCTAAGAGTGACCTCAGACTAGCATTCAAAGCCGACCGGCTGTAAGCGCCTGAGGTATGAATGATTTCGTACCTTGTCTCTTCCTCTATAAAAAACCACCTCTTTTTCAAAGTTGGTAAATTACCTTGAGAGTGACGTCAGCTCCGGCCTCCAGGGCCACGCAGACGCCCCTCACCCACGCGGCCTCAACTGCGGCCTGCAACACTGTGTGGCCTTCCCCGTCCTTCACATCCACTACTGCTGACAGGGGTTCGCTGTCGTTGCGACCTTCATTCGCTAGGATCTGCCATGAGACGATAAAAAAATATTTCAATTAGATGAAGTTTTGGACCACACAAGCGTTGTTGCTACTGCAACTTTTTTCCTACTACCCGTTGGTTCTATAATGCTGCACCAGTTTTCTTAGCGTCTGAACTATACCACTAACAAAAATCAGGTGTGGAGGAGTTGTTCGCCTACCCAACAAAAATGTGTGTGGTTTTATGAAATCACGATGTCAGCAATAGTTATTTCATCATCATCATCAGCCTATTAATGTCTCCACTGCTGGGGTACAGGCCTTCCTATAATGGTTATGGATGGAATAAAGAGATAGGACTGTGGCGGCATGTATAGTATTTATATTTATTTATACAAAACCACATATAAAATTATTTATTACATTATAACTTACACAACTAATACAGACTTATAAATTACTTACATCTAAATACTTATGCTAACATATTACATAATTATATATTATATACAATATCTTATAAACTAAATATTTACATAACTTAACTATATACTATACGAAGCGCGTAGTATCAACGACGCGCAAGTATAGCTTCCGCGCTGTACGAGCAGTCTTAGCGCATCCTTTTGTTTCCAATTTTTTGTGCGATCTATTGAATGCAAGCTATCGATAGACGTTGCAGATCGCCAGTGATAAACTGACCACGACGCGGAGCGCACGCCGCCCATACGCACGCATCTATACTTCGTCTGCTCGCGCGCCGATATTTAATACAAAACCTCTTTTCATTTTGCTACTCCTTCTAATTATATCCGTGGTAGGAACCTACCACCATCGCCTAACTAAGGAACCCCTTCACTGGTGACCCCTGCAGTTCACATGATCAAAATGGATGGAGGTAATGCATCTACGAGCGCATTAGGACAAGACTACACCCGAAGCGATGCGAGCGATGTTTTTCGAGTTGGCATAAGGAACATCCCATTTTATCCAGACAAGCCGTCGTTATGGTTTTCCATGCTAGAAGGTCAGTTTGCATTGGCTAATATTACCACAGATTCGACAAAATTCTATCACGTCATCGGCATGCTAGACCATCAATACGCAGTTGAAGTGGCCGATGTGATAGAATCTCCACCAGAAAACGACAAATATGTCAAATTAAAGACAGAGCTTATTAAGCGGTTGTCGGCATCCAAAGAGCGCAAGGTTAAGCAGCTGCTGGACCACGAAGAGCTGGGCGATAGAAAACCGTCGCAATTTCTACGGCACCTTCAACATCTCGCAGGTTCTGGTATACCAGAGGACTTCATTCGCACCATCTGGACTAGCAGGTTGCCTAGTAGCATGCAGACCGTAATCGCTTCGCAACTCCAGCTACCGCTCGACAACTTAGCTGATCTCGCAGACCGTATCCATGACATTGCACCACCATCTCCGCACGTAGCTTCTGCTTCTTCTTCATCTTTTGCTTCAACATCAAATCGACATCATCCAAACAACACGATGGACATGATGGCTAAGCAGATTGAGAAGCTAACGCAGCAGGTCCACGCACTTACTATGAAGGTCGGTAGATCAAGACCCACATTCAGGGAGAATAGGAGGCAGCACAATCGCAGTCGCAGCAGATCACAGTCCAGCTACCGCAAATACCCTATCTGCTGGTATCACGCGAAGCACGGCAGCAAGGCTAGCAAGTGCCAGAAGCCGTGTGACTACAAGGCGGAAAACCAGCAGGGCGGTCGGTAATGGCGACAAACGATTGCCCAAACAGCCACGGTCGCCTGTTCGTCACTGATCGGCATACCAGGACACAGTTTTTAGTGGACACCGGTAGTGACTTGTGTGTATTCCCTCGTGTGGCACTTAGAGAACGACGGCCAAAGACTAAATACGAGTTGTGCGCGGCTAACGGTACTGTTATCCATACATACGGACATGCTAATTTTAAATTAGATTTAGGTTTACGACGAGACTTTGTATGGCGTTTTATTATAGCTGATGTTAATAAGCCCATCATCGGCGTTGACTTTCTGTCATACTATAATTTAGTTGTAGATGTTAGAAATAAGAGATTGTTGGATAATTTAACATCATTAAAGGTCTCAGGTGCGTCAGCAGATAAGTACAGTAGCGTTTCGTCGGTTAAAGTCCAGACTGGTAACTCGCGATACCATATGATACTCGCGGAATTTCCCGAACTAACCAGACCAGCAGGTACTCCACGCACCACACCACATAAGACCGTACACTACATTCGCACGACCCCAGGACCGCCTGTTGCTAGTACACCTCGTCGCTTGGCGCCAGATAAGTACAAAATCGCCAAACAGGAGTTTGACATCATGATCCAGGATGGTACTGCTCGACCATCAGACAGCCCTTGGTCTTCTCCTCTACACCTGGCTCCCAAAAAGGATGGCTGGCGTCCCTGTGGGGACTATCGTATGTTAAATGCACGGACCATTCCTGATAGGTATCCGGTGCGTCACATCCACGATTTTACTCACAGTCTTTCAGGATGCAAAATCTTCTCCACCGTAGACCTGGTTAGAGCGTACAACCAGATCCCTGTCTGCAACGAGGATATTCCCAAAACCGCGATCACCACACCCTTCGGCCTCTACGAATTTCCATACATGACCTTCGGTTTGCGTAACGCAGGTCAAACCTTTCAGAGATTCGTAGATGAGCTGACGCGGGACATGGATTTCGTCTATCCATATTTGGATGACTTTTTGATCTTCTCCCCTGATCCATCTAGCCATGAGGCGCATTTACGTCATCTTTTCAAAAAAATGTCCGAATATGGCATTTTAATTAACACTTCTAAATGTGTTTTCGGGGCATCGGAAGTAACTTTTTTAGGATACCGTATTTCGAGCGACGGTATTAAGCCACTTGACGAGAAGGTCCAGGCCATCAGAGAATTTCCTAGGCCAACAACTGTCAAACAGCTTAGGAGGTTCCTTGGAATGCTCAATTTCTATCGCAGGTTTATCCCTCGCGCAGCTGAAGTTCAGGCACCTTTGAACGCTTTGTTAACCGGCTCAGTAAAAGGTAACCACCCTGTCGAGCTCAAAGGAGATTCACTAAAAGCCTTCGAGGATACAAAAACCAGCCTCTGTAATGCAGCACTTTTAGCTTATCCCGATTGCCATTCTCGACTAGCTCTTACCACTGATGCTTCCGATCTTGCTGTGGGCGCTGTTCTTCAACAACGCAAAGAAGGCGCTTGGCAGCCACTTGCATTCTATTCTTGCAAATTGAGCCCTTCCCAACAAAAATATTCCCCGTATGACCGCGAACTTCTTGCCATTTATCAGGCCATAAAATATTTCCGGCATATGTTAGAAGCTCGAGATTTCACAATCTTCACCGATCATAAGCCTCTCAGCTTTGCCTTTCATTCTAGAAAGTCAAGTTGTTCTCCTCGGCAATATCGATATCTCGATTTTATCTCCCAATTCTCCACCGATATCCAACATATATCCGGCAAGGACAACGTTGTCGCGGACACTTTATCGCGTATTGAAGAATTGGAAGCTAGTGTCGATTTCGATACTCTCGCGAAAGCTCAAAGTTCCGATATGGATTTAAAAAACATCTTAAATGATGCTAATTCTCTTCGGCTTACGAAAATCAAAATACCCGGAAGTAAGTTCGAGCTGTATTGCGATGACAGCAAACAAACTCCCCGGCCATTCGTACCGAAAATCTTACGACGTCAAATCTTCGACTGTCTTCACTCACTGAGTCATCCTGGCGTTAAAACTACTGCAAAACTTGTAGCACAGCGTTTTGTATGGAATGGTCTCAGAAAGGATTGCAGAGAATGGGCACGAGCTTGTTTGTTTTGCCAACGCTCTAAAATTAACCGCCACGTTTCTGCACCATTAGGAACATTTCCATTACCACGAGCTAGATTTAAGCACGTACACATAGATCTCATAGGGCCACTTCCCATTTCTAACGGTAACAGGTATTGCCTCACAGCAATCGATCGTTTCTCACGATGGCCTGAAGCAATACCCATACCGGACATTTCGGCAGAAACAGTCGCTAAAGCCCTAATAAGAGACTGGATCTCACGTTTTGGCTGCCCAACTATCATAGTTACGGATAGAGGCAGACAATTCGAATCTGATCTATTCAAATTTCTGTCTCAAATGATTGGTTTCGAACACCGCAGAACCACCGCTTACCATCCAGCGTGTAATGGTCTCATAGAACGATTCCATAGTCAGCTGAAAGCTGCTATAACGTGTCACGCCAATAGCAGCTGGACAGAATCTCTGCCATTAGTACTGTTAGGTATTCGTAGCACTTTTAAGGAAGACCTTCAGTGTTCATCAGCTGAACTGGTTTATGGTGAACCTTTGAGACTTCCCGGAGAATTCTTTCACTCCAATCTAGATGGCACTACGGATATCACTGATTTCACTGCCCGTTTGCGGCAATTCACGCAAAATTTACAGCCCTGTCCAGCTTCACGACATCATACAGGCAAAATTTTCATTTATAAAGACTTGGCCACCACTAGTCACATTTTCATACGAGACGACACAGTCCGCCGAACTTTACAACCAGCTTACACTGGACCATACAAAGTTTTAGACAGAGGTCCCAAATCATTCAAGCTGGATATAAAGGGAAAAATAGTCACAGTATCTATAGACCGCTTAAAACCAGCCTATGTACTGTTAGACGAACAACAAAATAATTCACACCCATCACCTCCTACAATAGTAAACACACCTGAACAAAAAACTACTCGTTCTGGTCGCAAAGTACGTTTACCAGATTTTTATCGCCCGTAGTGACGGTCTCTGGGGGGGAGTGATGTGGCGGCATGTATAGTATTTATATTTATTTATACAAAACCACATATAAAATTATTTATTACATTATAACTTACACAACTAATACAGACTTATAAATTACTTACATCTAAATACTTATGCTAACATATTACATAATTATATATTATATACAATATCTTATAAACTAAATATTTACATAACTTAACTATATACTATACG